ACAATTGTAAAGCGCTTTGTGACTCTGGTCTGTGAAAGGCGCTATATAAATAAAGATTACTTACATGCATCAGTACTACAACAAAATATCAGTTCCACATCAGTACTACATCAGTACTACATCAGTACTACATCAGTACTACATCAGTACTGTAGTACTGCAGTACCACAGCAGTATTACTGAAAGTCCTGGGTTGTAATCCTGATTGCGGTCACAGATCGTGGTCCATTACTCTCTTTACAGTAAAACTCTTAGAGAGCGCGCCGTAAGAAGCCATTTGATGATAATCCGACGCCATGGCAACAGCTCAGGGCCGCCACAGCAACAGCGGGTCTTGGAGGAGGCTTAGTCCAGGATCCAGGCCACAGAACACATAATTGTTTTTACGAATCACTTTAGCGATTGGATTAAAGGCAACATCTGATACACGCCATTAAGGAATTATGTACATGTCCAGAGATAGCACTGCTGCTAATGCTAATGCTACTGCTGCTGCAATGGATAGGACTGCTGCTAATGCGTCTAATACTTCTACTGCTAAATATTGCACAGAGACCAAAGACAGACCAGAGAGAGATAAAGATCTGTCTGGTCGCACTCTGGTCACACTCTGGTCTCTCTCTGATCTCTCTCTGGTCTCTCTCTGGTCTCTCTCTTGTCTCTCACTCTGGTCCCACTCTGGTCTCTCTCTGGTCTCTTTCTGGTGATGGGCCCCAGTGTCGACCCCTGAGGAACCCCACAGTCTTTGTTCACTTTCTCCTGTCTGATTCCCTTGATATTAGAGTCATGTCCCTTTGATGTTAGAGTCATGTCCCTTTGATGTTAGAGTCATGTCCCTTTGATGTTAGAGTCAAGTCCCTTTGATGTTAGCAAGACTCCAAACATCTGTCCTAGGCCAGACCTGGACCAGTCCTGGAAAAGGGTTTGGGTTAGTGTGTGACCGGAAGCACTTGGTCCTTGGGAAGGCTCTACAGAAGATACTGAGGAGACTGAGACCAGAGGGAGACCCCAGAGAGAGAGACCAGAGAGACATCAGACCTATATGAGTCACATGATAACTGTTTTTCTCTCTATATGGGGTCCCTTTGATGTTGGAGTCATGTCCCTTTGATGTTAGAGTCATGTTCCTTTGATGTTAGAGTCATGTCCCTTTGATGTTGGAGTCATGTCCCTTTGATGTTAGAGTCATGTTCTTTTGATGTTAGAGTCATGTTCCTTTGATGTTAGAGTCATGTCCCTTTGATGTTAGAGTCATGTCCCTTTGATGTTAGAGTCATGTTCTTTTGATGTTAGAGTCATGCTCCTTTGATGTTGGAGTCATGTTCCTTTGATGTTGGAGTCATGTCCCTTTGATGTTAGAGTCATGCTCCTTTGATGTTAGAGTCATGTCCCTTTGATGTTAGAGTCATGACCCTTTTATGTTGGAGTCATGTCCCTTTGATGTTGGAGTCATGTCCCTGTGATGTTAGAGTCATGCTCCTTTGATGTTGGAGTCATGTCCCTTTGATGTTGGAGTCATGTCCCTTTGATGTTAGAGTCATGCTCCTTTGATGTTAGAGTCATGACCCTTTGATGTTAGAGTCATGTCCCTTTGATGTTGGAGTCATGTCCCTTTGATGTTAGAGTCGTGTCCCTTTGATGTTAGAGTCATGTTCCTTTGATGTTAGAGTCATGTTCCTTTGATGTTGGTGTCATGTCCCTTTGATGTTAGAGTCATGTCCCTTTGATGTTAGAGTCATGTTCCTTTGATGTTAGAGTCATGTTCCTTTGAGGTTAGAGTCATGTTCCTTTGATGTTGGTGTCATGTTCTTTTGATGTTAGAGTCATGTTCCTTTGATGTTGGTGTCATGTCCCTTTGATGTTAGAGTCATGTCCCTTTGATGTTAGAGTCATGTTCCTTTGAGGTTAGAGTCATGTTCCTTTGATGTTGGAGTCATGTTACTTTGATGTTAGAGTCATGCTCCTTTGATGTTGGAGTCATGTCCCTTTGATGTTGGAGTCATGTCCCTTTGATGTTAGAGTCATGCTCCTTTGATGTTAGAGTCATGTCCCTTTGATGTTAGAGTCATGACCCTTTTATGTTGGAGTCATGTCCCTTTGATGTTGGAGTCATGTCCCTTTGATGTTAGAGTCTCGTCGTCGTAGTAACTGGGTCACGTAGTCCCCGCCTCTACTGAGGATTAATAAGCCATTATCTGATCTTTTAATAACTGCAGTAAGATTACAAGCCAGCTGTTCAGAGCCTGAAGGAGCAAATGTAGACCAGCAGCTTTAAAGCTGAGGTCTATCACTTCAAAGCTGAGGTCTATCACTTTAAAGCTCAGGTCTATCACTTTAAAACTGGGGTCCGTGACTTTAAAGCTGGGGTCCGTGACTTTAGAGCTGGGTCTGTAATCCATTGTACCCCATATATAGAGAAAAACAGTTATCATGTGACTCATATAGGTCTGGTGTCTCTGGTCTCTCTCTCTGGGGTCTCCCTCTGGTCTCAGTCTCCTCAGTATCTTCTGTAGAGCCTTCCCAAGGACCAAGTGCTTCCGGTCACACACTAACCCAAACCCTTTTCCAGGACTGGTCCAGGTCTGGCCTAGGACAGATGTTTGGAGTCTTGCTCCGGCTAGGGTCCTGTGTGCAGAGTAGCAGAGTAGCAGAGACGTGGTGAGATGACGCCCCCTTGTGGAGATCCTATGGACGACTCTTTTTGCTCAGAGAATAATCCATTTACTCCAACTCTTGTTGGTGTGAGTGTTCAGTCCACAAGAGAAGCCCACCTCCTGGATCCCGAACATTACTGAGGTTTCTCCTTCAGTGTTCCTGTACAGTCAAAAAACAGCAACATATGTGTCTGAAATATCCCCACTGTGGGACAAATAAAGGATCTTAATCTTAGCTCACGACCGTCAAAAGAATTGCCTATATCATGGGATTGGGCCACTATCATTTGGCAGAATGATTTGACACTCATCGTTATAAAAAAGTTTGTTGGTGAATTACGGAAAGTTTTTGATCATCCTGTTCAAGGCATGGAGGATTCCAAACGCCTACTCATGGGATGTATTTTATTGTACGTATTTATTTCCTGCACAGACTATGTTTTTAGCCTTTAACATGTTTGTACTGTCTTTTGCACAAACTGAGTGATTCTATCTGTGCCAAATGTGACATGTACATTTCTCCAATGTGAGATCAATAAAGTCTATCTTATGATTGCACTCTCCAAACAGTTTTGGTAGTGGTTTAAAATGATCAATTGAATGATGAGTTGGCACTGGTAAACCGTTCCTCCATCTCCCCTTTCCCCTTCAAAAGAATGCAGCTGTGGACTGAAATATGTTTTAACATTTCACTAACTCTGCCTCTCACTGCTTTAGTGAATTCAGGTGCAGAGGGGAATGCTCTTGATTTCAATTTGGCTTTCAAAAATGGACTGTAGTTGAAAACACAAGAACCTCCTCCATCCATAAATTTTCTTCCGCTTCATCCGTTGACAGTGTTGTGACGTATTACACACAACAGTGTTATAACATGTTGCACACAACATGGGCCTGTTTCACAGATGATCTTTATGAAACAAAGATTGTATTAAAGTGAGACGTTTTTCATTGTATTTGATATGAAGAAGATTAGATATATTTAGGTACAGGACTGCTCCACACACAACAGAAAATTCTTTAATAATCTAAAGTTATTTAAGTATATAGTTATTGTGCACTTGTGATGCAACCATAGACTGTATATATTAATGCAACACTGACCTCTCCCCACGGTGGGATCTCTTCATCTTCATCTTTCTGAGATGTAAACACAGACGGAACATTTGTGCCGCGAGGAGCCGCTGTTCCGCGGTGTGACGTCACTGTCCCGTTATCCCCGTGTCCCGGTGAGAGCTGCAGAGACCTATCCGCGAGGCACCGACACGCAACACACGCACCGGGCTTGCACCGGACTTGCACCGGACTCGCACCGGACACCCAGAGGAGCAACTGGAACACGAACACGTCTCTACACCTCGGGTAAACCGCTTCTGAAACTCTGTAAACTCTCGGAGCCGCGATGCTGTCCGCGTGCGCTGCTCCTCACGCGCAGTTGGGTCAGTCCGGTCTGGTCCAGTCTGGTCTGGTTCAGTCCGGTCTGCTTCTGTCCGGTCTGGTTCTGTTCAATTTGTTTAGTTTCTGTGCTTTTGTTCACGGCGCTTTCCCCGTTACTATGGTGAAGCGAAGAACTCTCGCGAGAGGAAAACTTTTCTCGTTACTTTGTGTAAATGAAGCTAAAATCTCGCGAGACTACTGCAAATCTGAAAGAAGTTTGAACCAGGACTAGACCAGGATTTTTTTTGACTAGAAAGCACCACTGGACAAGGACGACTGGGCCAGAAGAGTCTTATGATTTGTTTAGATCATATTCATGGTTATATTATCACATTCCCCCAGATGCCCTCCCCCCTCGGGGCAGGAAGTGGTTCTGGAGGAATGTGACTCTCTCCAGGTCCAGACCATGGTCCAGACTCTAGGTGTGTGTGTGTGTGTGTGTGTGTGTGTGTTGCAGATTTAGTAAATTTAATCCTCCAAAGAATCTGAACTCAGAGACCTGGTTCAGACCTGCTTCAGACCTGCTTCAGACCTGCTTCAGACCTGCTTCAGACCTGATTCAGACCTGGTTCAGACCTGATTCAGAACTGGTTCAGACCTTGTTCAGACCTGGCTTTTTCTGTTAAGCCCGACAAGGACCCAACAGAGTTCAGGTGAGTTTAAAGCTGGGGTCTGTAACTTTAACCGAATAAATAACTTTAATCTCAAAATAATTCATACTGTCTGTGTGGTAAATATCCCTGTGAGTCAGTATCTGCCTCTTTGGGCTGAGAGCTGATTGGCTGAGTGATTTTAATGGTTTTAATACAGATACATCAGCTCTCCGCCAACAGGGTCAGATTGTGACTCTCTGGGCTCAGACACAGGAGATGATGGTTATTAAAGCTGCTGACTGTGTTTTCAGAGAAGCTGATGGGGGAAGAGCTCGTCCTCCAGGTAAACACAGCATCAGAGCTGACACTCATGAGGGAGATACCATGGTTACACTGTCTCTGTTCCAGGACACATGGTCCGAGAGTCTGGACCAGGACTTCTGCACCTCCACCCCCCTGAGACTAGCCCCAGTGAGTCCTGCTTTAGTCCTGCTTTAGTCCTGGTTTAGACCTGCTTTAGACCTGGTTTAGATCTGCTTTAGTCTACTAGCTTTAGACCTGCTTTAGTCCTGGTTTAGACCGCTTTAGTCCTGTTTTAGGCCGGCTTTAGTTCTGGTTTAATTCTGGTTTAGACCTGCTTTAGTTCTGGTTTAGACCTGTTTTAGACCTGCTTTAGTCCTGCTTTAGTCTATCAGCTTTAGACCTTCTTTAGTTCTGGTTTAGACCTGCTTTAGTCCTGGTTTAGACCGGCTTTAGTTCTGGTTTAATTCTGGTTTAGTCCTGCTTTAGACCTGCTTCTGTCTATAGCTCAGTTCCGTGAGCTTTCCTTCAAACACACACATCTCAAAATACATCCACAATAGAGCTGTCAGTCACAGCTGTGGGCGGGGCTTATCACAGTTGGGGGGCAGGGCTTAGCACAGGTGTGCATAATGATCTCAGCCTGTGGATTCGTCACATCAGTGATTCTCTATCGTTAACTCTATTGTTAATACTACAATACAACAGTACAATAGAACTCCTGTTGATAGTATGAGTTCCACAGTCATCAGTTTGACTTCGACTTCTGCTCCTGACAGAAACCTGAAGGTCTGACTCACTGTAATGTAGTCGAACTCTCTCCCTCTCTCTCCTCTCTCCCTCTCTCTCCTCTCTCCCTCTCTCTCCTCTCTCCCTCTCTCTCCTCTCTCTCTCCTCTTCTCTATCCCCTTGCTCTCTCCTCTCTCTCCTCTCTCTCTCTCTCTCCTCTCTCTCTCCTCTTCTCTATCCCCTTGCTCTCTCCTCTCTCTCCTCTCTCCCTCTCTCTCCTCTCTCTCTCCTCTTCTCTATCCCCTTGCTCTCTCCTCTCTCTCCTCTCTCTCTCTCCTCTTCTCTATCCCCTTGCTCTCTCCTCTCTCTCCTTTCCTCTCTTCTCTCCCCTCTTTCCTCTCCCTGCTCTGTCTCTTCTCCCCTCTCTTCTATCTCTTCTCTCTCTCCTCTCCTGTCTCCCCTCTCTCCTCTACTGTTTCCTCTCTCTCATTTCTCCTCCCTCGTCACTCCTCACGGTCAGCACTAGATCATATACGAAATCGGGACGGAAGCGGAAGTAAATATTACAAATTACCTATTCATGCCTAACCTTAACCAGTGTTACTTCCGGTTTTGTCCCGATTCCGTATATGATCTAGTGCCGACCCTCTCCTAACCCCTGTCTCCTCTCTCCTCAGGTGTCGTCCTCCTCCCTCGTTTCCTCCTCCTTCTCCTCCTCTCTCCTCAGTGTCCTGGACAATGGGACAGGGACAGCATCTCCGGAGCAGGTGCTGTCTTTGTGGAGGGACGAGGGTCTGAGGGACGGCCCACGAGTGCTGCAGGTGAGGGGGGGGTAAGGGAAGAGGCATGTCCTGCAGGGGTGGATAGGGTGAGGGGGCGTGTCCACAGGTGCTAGGCCCAGGTGTGCTCTCTCCTCAGTTGCTGGACTTCCCGGGGGACGAGCCTGTGTCGCTCTCAGACCTGTCGTCTGTTCTGCAAAATGAACTCTGCGTCAGTTCGAACATTGTCCACCAGGCGGCACTCATCTGCTTCAGAACAGAGCTACAGCATCTGCAGTGAGTTCTAAGAGACCAGAGAGTGACCAGAGAGTGACCAGAGAGTGACCAGAGAGTGACCAGAGAGTGACAGAGCCGGGAGAGGTTAGACCAGCTGTATACTGTAACATGTATCTCTCAGGTCAGTCCTGGAGCAGAGCCGCAGGGAGAAGGACAAATACAGATCTGATCTGGAAAAGTCAGACTTCAGGAACCTGCAGCTGCTGCGGGAGATGGACGAACGACAGGTCGCTATGGAGACCAGTGTGACAGACAGGATCAGGTCTGTGCAACACAACACACACACAGACACAAACAAAACTCCCTCATGCCCCTTCCCTCCGTCATGCCCCCTACTAGACAAGTTGAGCCTCCTCCCTCCCCTTCCTCCTGCCCCTTCCCCCTCCCTCACAGACAGGTGGAGCCTCCTCCCTCCCCTCCCTCATGCCCCTCCCTCACAGACAGGTGGAGGTGGCCTGTAGGGGGCGTGTCTCAGAGCTGAGGTCACAGCTGCAGCAGGAAGTGGAGTCAGTTCAGCAGCTGGAGACAGAGAAGAGCTCCCTCCACAGGACACTACAGGAACTGACCACACGACAGACGCACCAGCAGGGGGAGCTGTCCACCCTCACACAGGTAACACTTGGTATTACTCCTGATATTACTCACACAGATTACACCTGGTAGTACACCTGTTATTACACCAGGGAGAGCTGTCCACCCTCACACAGGTAACACCTGGTATTACGTCTAGTTTTACTCCAGGGGAAGCTGTAATGAGCCACCAACAGAGAGGTCACAGAGGTCAGGGTTCTACATCTCACGCTGTTCAGTCCATTATTCAGACTCTGAAACTCGACCACTGCAAACATACCCAGACACGGCCGGCTCTTGTCTCTTGTCCCTTGTCTCTGGGCTCTGGAGACCTAGTCCTAGGTTAGGTCTTGTCTCAGTTCTGGTCTGGTCCCTCAGGAGAACCTGAGTCTACATCAGGACCTGTCAGAGCTGCGTTTGAAGCTGAACGAATCTGAGACGAGTTTCAACAAACTACAGCAAGAGCTGGAGCGCCTCCTGGTGGACAAGGTGTGTGTGTGTGTGTGTGTCTGTGTGTATGTGTAACCATGACGCTTTCAGATCTGTGTACCTGAGCTTTACTGCATCTAAACATGAACATTGCTTACTCCATGGGCTATGTTAGGGATGCACCAAATACTGCACTGTGTTATCCCTGGGAATTCATTGAAAAAAAAATATTGAAATTATTTCAATTATGAATTTCAGAAATTAAAAAACTATTTAACATTTTAGCAGTTGTCTTAACAGTCAAAAACCAACTGCCACTGGCATTTCAGCCTTCTCCAAAGTTTATTGAAGAGATGATGGTTTGTATCGGTGACTCCCTGGTCTCTGTTTCTGTGGTCTGTGTGTCTGTCTATGGTCTCTGGTCTGGGTCCGGTCTCTGGTCTAAAGAGTCTAGTTTCTCATAAATATTTAACTCCTGCATGCTTCACTGTCCTCTGCTCTGATTGGCTGTCGGCCCAGAGCTCTGGAGCTGTGGACCAATCAGAGTCTGTGTTGTTGTGTGCAGTTCAGCCTGGAGCCTGGTGGTGGCGCCGCGAGTCCAGAGAGACTGACAGAGATCATCAGAGGATATGAAGAGGAGTGTAGGGTAAGACCAGGACCGAGACCAGGACCGAGACCAGGACCGAGACCAGGACCGAGACCAGGACCGAGACCAGGACCGAGACCAGGACCGAGACCAGGACCGAGACCAGGACCGAGACCAGGACCGAGACCATATGTGTCTGTTTCAGGAGCTGAGAGACCGTAACGACGAGCTGACCTCAGAGCTGGTGAAGAGTCAAAGAAAAACCAGACGCCCGAGAGATCAGCGCACTCCAGATAACGGTGACCATGGTAACCACAGTAACCATAGTAACCACTGGCTCCTCCCACAGTGGAACATCAGGGTCTGTATCTATGGTCAGGTTCATAATTCGTTTCAGTGATTATTATTAAGGCTGGGTCTGTGACTTTAAAGCTGGGGTCTGTAACTCTCAGATCCATAGAACTCCGTATTAAACCCATGTCTCTGGTTCTGGCTCTAAAACAGTTGCTTTTGTCACTAGTTTCACATCATCTATTTGTGATGTCACATCTTTAGATCAGAGAGAGGACCCCCTCTTTCAGCCAATCAGCTCTCAGTGCAAAGAGGCAGGTACTGACTCACAGGGATCTTTCTGACACTAAAGATGAGCTTTTTGGTTGTTTATTTTTATCTTTTATTATGCCTCTATACCTTTACCTCTCTTTCTAACTGTTTCACTGAGCCAAAGCAATTTCCAAGTCTGTGACTTCCTGTTACTTACGTGGCAATAAAAATGATTCTGATTATAAGACAAAGAATTACAGATCCTAGGTTTAATTTTTACCTGAACTATAGTATAAACATGTATGACAGGTAGAGCAGGTTAGCCCCGCCCCTCAGTTTGCCCCACCCCTCACACAGGTATGGTGAGTTTAGCCCCGCCCCTCACACAGGTATGGTGAGTTTAGCCCCGCCCCTCACACAGGTATGGTGAGTTTAACCCCGCCCCCGTCTGGATCTCTCCAACATGTTTCTAAGTGTATGTCTGTCTCTAACTAAATTAAAGTAATCTAAACAAAACATGTTTGCTTTTTCAGACTCTCCTCGTGTCCGGAGGAAGCTGCTTCCTGCCGACAGAACAGGTCAGAGGTCGGCTTTCATCCGAGCCAAAATATCCAGAGCCTGAGGGCAGGACATTTGGCTCAGATGGGTTTTTTTTAACTCAGATATTTTATTTTTTATTTTCAGAACTGAGCTCCTTGGACTCTGGTCCTATCCCTAGTCCGGTCTCTGGATTAGATCCTGGTCAAGTCTCTGGATTAGATCCTGGTCAAGTCTCTGGATTAGATCCTGGTCAGGTCTCTGGATTAGATCCTGGTCAGGTCTCTGGATTAGATCCTGGTCAGGTCTCTGGATTAGATTCTGGTCAGGTCTCTGGATTAGACTCAGATCCAGTCTCAGGTCTGGTCTCTGGTCTGGTCTCTGGTCCCTCGGTCTCTCTTCAGACTGAGCTGGCTCTAGAACAGCTGCGACAGAACCATCAAGAGGAGGTGCAACAACTGCAGGTCAAGATGGAGACTCAGGTAAGACCGGGACTGGGACTGAGACTGAGGACTGGGACTGAGGACTGGACCAGGTCTGACAAATGTCTGTTACAGGTGAATTATTATGAGCGAAGTCTGGAGCAGATGAGACGCAGTATGGAGCTGGAGAGAAAGGACATCTCCCAGGGGTTTAAGGTACAGGTACAGCAGATACTAGAAGTACTACAGGTACCACTAGAAGTACTACAGGTACAACAGTAAGTACTACAGGTTCTACATGTACTAGAAGTATGACAGGTACTACAACAAGTATTACAGGTTCTAGAAGTACTAGAATTGCTACAGTAAGTACTACAGGTACTACACGCCAATGGTGTAGGTTTGGTTCCAGCTCTGGGTCGGACACAATGAAACATTTTATTAAAAATAAACAACATTAAAATTATTTGAAAAATATTTACTGTTACGGGAATTGAACCCGAAACTCAGTCCTGACCATGTGACGACACTGAGTACAACTGAGTGTAACCCTCATAAGTAACTGGTGGGTTAGAGTTAGGGTTAGTAGATACTTAGTTAACCCTTGGCTTTGGATAAACTCAAACGATGCACAGAAAAACAGAAAACATGTTTCTTCTTCATACATCGCTACGAGTCTTTGGTCCAGAACAGAGCAAATCTAAACATGTGACATCACAAAAACATGATATGAAAGTGACAGAAGCATCTGTTTTAGACCCAGTTTTAGACCACAGCTTTAAGTGGTCTGAGGTCACGGTCTGTGTTTCAGATGGAGATCTGTGAACTGGAGGAGCAGAAGTCTGAGCTGGAGGCTCAGCTGAAAACCATGAAGGAACAAGCGGAGAGACACCAGCAGAGGGCAACAGAGAGCAGGGACCGCGAGCAGAGCAAGAGGTGTGTGTCTGTGCGTGACCTGTGTTTGTGTGTGTGTGTGACCTGTGACCCCTGACCCTAGGCTGCAGAGGGAGCGGGCTGAGATGGAGCAGAATTTCGCTCGTGAAATTTCAAACTTGGTCCAAAAACTGAGCGCAGAGAAAGACCAGCTCGAGGCGGAGCTACGGCTGAAGATGGACCAGGGACAACTGGTGCTGAGGTGAGACCAGGGCCGAGACCAGGGCCGAGACCAGGGCCGAGACCAGGGCCGAGACCAGGGCCGAGACCAGGGCCGAGACCAGGGCCGAGACCAGGGCCGAGACCAGGGCCGATAGATAGATGTATAGATAGATACCTTTTTGATCCCCCGTAGGTGTCCAGTAAGAGCAAAAATTAAAAATTCTGACCAGGACTGAGACCAGGAACCACTACTGCTGAGATGAAACCAGGGCTTGATGTAACAAGTAACAGTCTTTATCACCGTGACAACACTGTAACCATAGTAGCAGTCTGTAACACCGTGACAACTGTGTAACCATAGTAGCAGTCTGTATCACCGTGACAACTGTGTAACCATAGTAGCAGTATTTGCAGACTGTGATGTGAACAGGTCTGAGGCAGAGCGCAGGGAGGCGGAGCTAAGAGTGGTGTGGGAAAACCAGCTGGCCAATCAAGAAGAGACACAACACTTGCGTTCATCTCTCGTCCAATCAGAGGAGAGACTGCGGGAGGCATGTGTGCAGCTGAAGGAAAGCGCCACGTTTTTAGAATCGCACGAAAAACTGAACACGCGACTGATGCGGGAGGGGGCGAAGCTAGAGGTGGAGCTACAAGATAAGGAGGAGGAGCTACAACACAAAGAGGCGGAGCTACAAAAAGCACGAAACGTAGAGGAGGAGCTGAGTATGGACCGCCAGAAACTGATCAGAGATCTAAAAGAGCAGGCCATGAGGGCGGACCAATCAGAGGCGAGCTTACAGGAAGTGACCGTCCGACTAAACCAATTACAGTTGAGCTTAAAGGTACAGCTTGGCCAATCGGAGAGAAGATTGCAGATGATGACAGCGCAGTTCCATCACTCACAGACCTGCTTAGGGAATGCGAACGCACAGCTCGACCAATTACAGAAGAGCTTACTGGAAATCACACCACGTTTCAGCCAATCAGAGAAGAGCTTACAGGAAATGTCTGCGCAGCTCGGCCAATCGCATGAGCTGGTCGAAAGGCTACAGCTGCTCAAGAGCCAATCAAATTCGAGCTTAGAGAGGCGTATGGGGGCGAGGCTATCGAATGAGGGGGCGGGGCTAACGGAGGACTGGGCGGAGCTTGCGCTGCGTCTGCGTGCAGAGAGAGACGGCTACATGCGTCTGTGCGACCAGCTGTCGTCGCAGATCGTGGAGATGGAGGAGGAGTTGCAACGCCGCTCTGCAGATCTGGTGCGTCAGTCCGAGCTGCAGCGGCTCCGATCCGAGTCAGAGCAGAGACTGGGCCACATGGAGGAGCTAGTGAGGCGGCTGGAGACAGAGGACAGCGCCCCTTACAGGTCTGACAGACAACTGCAGTCGCACTAACTCCCGCCGACTACCATTTTGTGCCTGTAACACCAAATCCACTGCATGATCCAGCACCGACTGCCTCCATTTTGTGTCTAACATTCAAATCTGTGCCTCATTTTGTGTCCTAATATCATCAGATCAAATGTCTCATGATTATTCTAAAGTTAACCTGAATGTTGCTCGTCGGCGACCATTTTGTGCCTGTAACACTGAATCCACTGCATGATCCTGTGAACAAGCTCCGATGGCGGCCTTTTTGTGCCTGATGATGCTCTGGTACATGAATCTGAGATCTTGGTGTGTCCGCCATTTTGTGTCTTACCTGATGGCACTCGAAGGGCCTCTGTAATGATTCTGAAGCCTCTTCCTCTTTCCCTTCAGTCTGTGTGATACTTCTTCCTCTTCCCCCTCTTCTTCAGGACGCAGGTGTAATGCTTCTTCCTCCTCTTCCTCAGGACGCAGGTGGACGACTTGAGGTCTGAAAACGTCGCTCTTCTAGAACGAGTTTCGCTGCTTCAACAGGAAGTGACATCGCTGGAGGAGGAAGTGGACAGAAAACGGTCAGAACCCTAACCCCTAATTTACACTAAACAATGTAACAGACGTGTGCGTGTAACAGACGTGGTTGTTTTTCAGGAGGAAAACTGAAGAAACTGAACAAGAACGAGAAACTATGAAAGACGTGCAAGAACGACTCAACAAAGAGGTTTGTTTTAGTCCTTCTGTAGACCTGTTTTTGACTTACCTTAGACCTACTTTAGACCTGCTTTAGTCCTGCTTTAGTCATATTTTAGACCTGGTCCTTCTACAGAACTTTGGACTCCGGCAGCAGGTCCTGGACCTCAGCAACAGAAACCTGGAGCTCAGTTCTTCAAACGCAGAGATGAGTCTAAAGACCAGGAGAGCAGAGGAAGACAGCACCACCGTGAGTACAGCAAGAGTACTGCAGAGTGTACTCCTCCAACAGTCTGACAGTGTGTTTTCAGTTGCAAAGGCTGAAGGAAGAGCTTGTCCAATCAGAGCGGGAGAAACATCAGCTTCAAGTGGAGCTCAGTGCCACCAAGAGGCAGGTGAGAGAACTGATTCCTAACGGTCCTGTAGGGGGAGTCTGGATTATTGGGTTGCAACCAGTGGGGGCGGGTCCCGGCTCAAAAGTGGCCAAAATGACGTGCGCTGACATGCTGCAATACCACCCCGGGCCGATGGGGGTGGACCCGGAATAAAAATTAGCCAATGCTAACATATAGCGTTGGCAGACCTCTCAAAAACGTCTTTACAGAATGGACCAAAAGTTGTCTCTTGGCCCAAAGCTCCGTTCCACATGTGTGTCAATGCTGAGGGGGGTGTTTTGGACCAGTCTAGTTTACTTGCTGTGAATTTTTGAAATCTCTTGTTCAAATGAATGGAGCTCTCTCCGGCTGACGCATGCACAGATGCGTTTTTTCACAATTTTCTTGTGGGCGGGACCACTCGCGGCCATTTTGGATTGCTCCAGTAGAGCACATTTTTTGGCCCATTAGTTAGAACGGCAGAGATAGGCGTGACTCTGTCCGTTAATATATACAGTCTATGGTTGCAACAGCGTGACCAAAAGGGGGAGTGGCAAGGGGCCTAGGATAGGAAGTGATCTTGTCCTATTAGTGAGAATGGGCAATGCGGGAATAGACATGCATAGGAGCTTTTTGTGGGTTGGTATCACTCTTAATTTGAGTGAAAACTATTCTAAATGCAGCGAACGCCTTGTAGAGTTTTAAGGAGTCAATTTTTTTCCAAAAATGAGGAGGATTAAGTGGCTGTTATAGGGACGACACTGTTGCCTTGGTTACTACGTATACCTCACAAAAATACTGCATTGTATCTGAGTGCCTAATGCTAAAGCATTTCTTCTGTTGCATATTAGGAATTTCCAAAAAACACCCGTTTGAGAAATAATTAGAGCATACGTTCTCCACTTGATACGAGCAGTTGCCACAACTGTACACTCGACTCTGAATCAGTGATTTTCTATTTTGTTCTTGATGAGGAGATTTACCTTCCTGGAAGACTTTCGCCTCGCCATGTGACGTTAGCTGCAACCCAGCAATACACATGGAAAAAGGCCGCTAGCTCAATGCTAACCCCCTAGCTCAGAGATGTCAAAGTCGGATACATCATTGGCCAAAAAAAACAATTTTGCTACAAGCCAAGGGCTGACGGGTTCAATGTTAATTAATACATAATAAAATGATAGTATGTAGAATAAAGGAACTCTTATCTCTTATCTTTTATCTTATCTATTGAACTAAGACATAATACAGTGAACCATATTTTATTGTCTGTGTGTGTTTGTGTGCGTGTCTCTTTGTGTGTATGTGTGTTTCCTGTAGGGGGAGACACTCAGTGAGTCGCTCAGGTCTCATGAGAAGGAGGCGGAGTCTCTTCGGGCGCAGCTGCAGTTGGCCAATCAGGAGGCTCTAACCATCAAGCAGGAAGTGACGCTCACTCAGCAGAGACTGAAGGATACTCACAACAAGGTGTGTGTGTGTTTTTGTGTGTGTCTCTGTTCATCTGTGTGTGTGTTAATGATGTTGTGTTACAGGGGGAGGAGCTGGACTTATGTCTCAGGAAGTTGATCACAGAGAAGGAGAAAGTGACATCATCGATGGAGGAGGAGCTTCAGATGCTGCAAATCAGAAACCAGGAACTCCAGTCCAAGGTCCTCATTTTACAATCTGACAGCTGCACCTGGTGTTGGACCGTGGTACTGCAGTCTCACCTGGTGTTAGATTTCTCTTTCATCTTTGTTTTCTATAAATTCACTTTTAAGAAAATAACTGATTGGTCAGAATACACACTTTTGCGTCACCTCCTACAGTATTTTGTCCAGTGTGGAGCGAGCATCAACCAATGAGGACTAAAGCAGGACTAAAGCAGGACTAAAGCAGGACTAAAGCAGGACTAAAGCAGGACTAAAGCAGGACTTTTTTCAGGTGGCTGAAGTCCAGACCCAAGATCAGGAGATCCACAGACTGAACCAACAGCTGCTGGAACTGAAGACTCAAGTGGAGCAGTTGGAGAGGACCAAGAACCAGGCCCAAGACCAGGTCTGAACCAGGACTAAACCAGACTCAATACCCAGTCTGACCCAGGACTAAAATACAGTGCTTTAAAAACTGGGGTGATGTTTTCTTTCAGGTCCTCAGAGCGGATACAGCCTTGAGTGTGATCCAGTCTCAGCATCTGCGGCAGATCCACCAGATCCAGACCGAATCAAAGTCCCAGACAGAGACCGAGACCAGGACCAGAGCAGAATTGGACTCTGCGCTGGACCAACTGCGGGACGAGCGAGAGAGGAGAGCGAGAGTGGAGCAGGAGCTAGGGGAGAGAGAGATGGGCAAGCGACAGGGCGAGCAAGAGGTGAGAGTCCAGTCTGCTCATACTGTTGAACAGATCACATAAACGGTTCTTCTTATGGTCACGGTCCCAGGTGTCTGTTCTCTCTCTCTGGTCTTAGTCACATGGTATTGTTGCAGGCTGTGTCTCGTCTCTCTCTTCGGGCTGAAGACCTGCAGCTGCAGCTGAAGGCCACACGAGGTCTGCTACAGGAGAAGAGCTCAGAGCTGAAGGAGCAGGTGTTTGTCTGTTTATGTGTGTATTCATTGTGTCTACAGGTGTGTGTATTCAGTTGTGTGTCTGTGTAGGTGTCTCGCTTCAGTGCTGTGTCCCTCCTCCTGCAGCAGCTGCAGTTGCAGCAGTCTGAGCTGATGGTGGCGCTGCAACAGAGCGAGCAGAGACTCTCTGTGACATTGAACCAAAACAGCCTCTTGCAGGCGAAGAACCAGACCCTGAACCAGCTATTGAGACGCCTGGTCCCTGAGGCCCTGAGCTAGACCTGGTCTCTCTCCTCAATTGTAAATAAAGCCAAATTAATGGAAATGTATTTTATTCTGTGCTGGTCTGCATCTGAAACAAGACCAACGAGGCTGTAGACAGGACTGAGGTCGCTCCTGGTTTAGTGTTTGAATCTGAGGCTACAATGACTGTGGATTATCTCTAATAAAGAAGTTCTCACTCACAAAATAAACAGTTTTATTTGAGTTCAGAAAAACACTGGATGTAAATATTGTCTAAGAGAGGACGTGCTCCAGGACGCCCTGGCGAATCAGCTGCTCACATTTCCACCGAGGCAGGAAATGCTGCGAAGGAAACAGGAAGTGACATCACTATAATAGCAGCAGTAAGTGGTACATTGTCTAGTTTTGTTTGAATACTGAATGATCTGTACCATTTTACTAAACTTCAATTTAAAAAAAGAAAAGCGCTAGCAGCAGAAGTACTTGTACCTGACTGTTCCTCTTCAGCAGAATCACAGTTCCGTCGTCGATCTCTAGTTCTCCATGGTCTTTGACACATCGTACCTGAAACGCACATGGTTTTAAAGTTATATACCCTAGCTTTAAAGTCCTGTACCAGAGTCTCAGCCCCGGCCTCACCTGAATGTAGAGACTCTTTGGGGGCTGTGTGTCCTGTGTCAGGTCTAGTCCTTCTTCGTTTCCCAAACTCTTCATGAACGAAGACAGAGACTTTTTATACTGAGAAAACCACTGCACCTGAAAGTAAGTAATCTTTATTTATATAGCGCCTTTCACAGACCAGAGTTTACAATTGTGGCCATTATACCACTTCACACAGAGACCAAGAAACACACACCAGCTTTAAACATGTTATTTATCAGGCTAAACTTACAGACCCCAGCTTTAAACATGTTATTTATGAGGCTAAAGTTACAGACCCCAGCTTTACCTCTTCTGCAGACATGTGGAAGCGTACATTAGGGGGCAGAACTGAGCCGTACTCCCATCGCAGAGCTCTGATCCTCAGCAACCGGTCGTATCTGCAAGAGAACAGCTCTAAGGTCAGCTCTCAGTCGCAGCTCTCAGTCGCAGCTCTAAGGTGCAGCTCTAAGGTGCAGCTCTCACAGGTAGGAGGCGACACAGCGCTGGTTCCTCAGTAAACAGCAGTGTCTAAGTTTGATTGACGGGATAAGCTCCGAGCGTCCCTCCGCCTTTGCCTCGTTCCTGAAAACATCACAGACAGATCAACCGTAGCACCTGGAGGAAACCTTTTCTGGTTTCAGTGGTTAAACAGTTTCTGAGTGGGGTTAGGGGGAGGGTGAGGGTTAGGGTCACTCACACGTCTGTCTGGTTCTGTTCAAACAGAGCTTCCATCTCCTGAAGCACCTGCCGCACCCCGTCCTCCTGTAACACAAGACCTGCTTCAGGCCTGGTCTCAGCCCTGGTCCTGGTCTCAGCCCTGGTCCTGGTCTCAGCCCTGGTCCTGGTCTCAGCCCTGGTCCTGGTCTCAGCCCTGGTCCTGGTCTCAGCCCTGGTCCTGGTCTCGGTCCTGGTCTCGGTCCTGGTCTCAGCCCTGGTCCTGGTCTCAGTCTTACATTAAATGCAGGCAGTTGTCCGTCGTTCATTCGGTGCAGCTCTCGGATCAACTCCAGCGCCTTCTCACAGAACATGACTGCAACACAACACAGCACACTAAACACACACTACAGCAGATACATGTCTCAGTTCACAGCCTCAGAGACAGGTTTGAAGCAGAAACACGGGATCAGTTTCAAAATCAGCAGGTCTGTGTGTGTATGAGAGTATAAATGTACATAGTAAAGTTAAAATAAGTCCATAAATGTATATAGTAAAAAGATCCAAACCATAGAGTGTAAATAACGAGTCTCCAAAGCCGGGTGTTGTTTTGGTTTGAAGCGCGGGAAAAGTGTGGTGACGTTTCCGGGTTGCCAGATCTGAGAACCAGGCGAACAGATGTATGATTATTATACCAAGAAGAAGATACACTTCTTAACATATGATAGTAGAAAGGCATTTCCGCCTCACTTAACCCCTGCGGAACTAACACTTATGTAACATTTTTTTTCTTGGGTTAAATTGACCCGCTACAGTGAGAAAAAAAACCCTCGATATTTTTTGTTCTATCTGAATTTTGATGATTTTTCTGAACTTGACCCTGTGTCATTTAAACCCTTCTGGACTTATAATTACTGTAGCGGTTCATTCTGACCCGGGGATAGCACAAGATCCATCATTCTTCTCTGATCAAATCTATGTTTTAATCTAACTCTAATCCGAGAAAAATACAACATTCATCACATTAAACTCTGGTTCCGTCTGTGTCCTCTTCCCATTCCACCAGTTCCATAGTTCGTATTTAAGATAACGGTAAAGTATTAGTGTTGTATCTCAAATATTTAAGTAAGTGTTAATTTTGATCAATTAAAAATAATTAAATATATTAAAATATCATAGACTGTATAATATTCACGGACCTGGCAACTCCACAAAAGTACGGGTTCCGGTGTGGAACAAACTTCAGCCTTACGCGACTCTTGGAAATTAAAATGGTTAAAAATGAAATACATATATATTTCTGTGATGCCGAAACGCTTCGTTGAGCAAGGCATTTATTCACTTAACATTTCACTCGGGCTGCGGGAGACGATCACCTTTTGATTCCAAGTTTGTTTGTATGTGTTTAGTGTAAAAGATTTGGTTTCAGGCGCAGATTCAGGTTCGGGCTGAGAGCTGAATGTGTTTTCATAGTTCTGGTTCTCAGAGGCCCCTCCTCCTCTCGGTCCCAGCCATAGACTGAAAAACACCTGAATGTTGTGTTCTTGGTGAAAGTGACACATGATTTGGACTCTTCGCTGTTACGTCATGGTGAATATTTATTCGATATTTTTAGTTTATACAAATGTTGTTTTTTGTTTATGCTGTGACTAAAGCTGCGTTTTCCGTTTCCTGGTTCAGTGTCAACTCTCTAACTCTAACCCAACACTGACCCTAACCCAAGTAATACAGCCTGAAGAGACAGAGGACCATATGTCCAGCCTCTGATGTAGATACTAACACAACCCACCGTCCTCATCTCCCTGTGAGTCACTATCTGTCTCTTTGGGCTTAGGACTGATTGGCTGAGTGAGGGGGGTCCTCTCTGTGAGATAAAGATGTGACATCAGAAATGACATCAGATCACATCAGATGTGAAAACTAGTACAGTAAGTTATAATAATTTATATGGTGCATTTCTCACACAAAGAGATGTTATCCTCCTTGAGACATGGTTTAAGTGGTAGTGGTGGTCCAGAGCACCTGGAGGAAACTTATGCTGACACAGGGAGAACATGCAAACTCAACACTAAAGTGGAATGGAATCCAGGACCTCCTTGCAGTGAGGCACAAATGCCAACCACTCAGACACTACTGATAGAGCAAACTGGAACAAGTGACAACAGAGTCCTATTCTGAAAAGTTACGTGGCCCAGATTTATCTTATCTTAATGAACTTAGAAGCAAAGCTAACCGATTGTTCCCGATGTGGTACCTCTTGTGGCAGGTCCAGCTTTAATGTACTTAGAAGCAAAGCTAACCCTTCACCCTGATGTGCCTCCTGTGACAGGTCCAGCTGCTCTGGTTTGACCAGTTCCACAAAAGTGAATCAGAGTTTAAATCTGTGTCTCGTCCACTGTAGTATCTACTGCTACTGCTGCTATACTACTACTATTGATACTACTACTACTACTGATACTACTACTGATACTACTACGGTGTCCACGTGTCTCCGGTGTTTGTTTTGAAGCTCGTTTGTCCCACGCGCTCTCCCCCCGTGAACGCTTCTTGCTGTGGTCACGTGACTCGCGGTCTTTGGATCAGCTGATCAAAGCTTCGGTCCCGTGCCCTTCACCCCCCGTCGAGCCCGGGAGCTGACCCCTGGTGGAACCCCCGGTTTGAGCCCGGTCTGTGTCCGGTGTGTTTCAGGAATGCGGAGGAGACCTGGCCCCGCGGAGGACTCACACCCGGGACTGACGGACTCTCCTCGGGAAGAGAGGGAGACCAGAGCCGGGGGAGAGAAACCGGGAGAGGAACCAGGAGAAGAACCGGGAGAGGAGGGGGACATGCGGAAGATATGCAGGAGGTGAGAGAACCGGACTGACAGACTCGGACTGACAGACCAGGACTGAGATTAAACCATGCCGGGTGGCTGGGTGGAAAGCATTCTCACTGTTCAGCAGAAGGACCTGAGTTCAAAACTCAGTCAGAACAGAGCCGTTCTGTGTTTAATTTGCATCTTTCCCTCTGAGTGCTCCGGTTTCCCCTACCACTAAAAAATGTACAATGGGTCAAATCTCCAGCTCTGGTCAAGAGCTGTAACATCTGAACCCGGTATGAATTCAGTCTGAACCAGGTCTGAACCAGGTCTGAGCTCGGTTTGAACCAGGACTGAACCAGTGTGAATATTTCAGTACATATTGTGTAACAGTCTCAGATTCCTCCTGTGATGAGGCCTGCAGTTGTGTTTCTCTGCACCCCTTTCTGTGTGAACCCGTTATATGTTGTTGTGTGTGCAGGAGCGCCCCCTTCAGATGGATGCGCAAATGGTTCCTGTGGCTGATTGTCCTGTACATCTCCATACCTGTGATCGTCAAGGTCTTCCCCTCCATCCAGGCCCAACTGGTCTTCCTCAACTTTGGTACAAACAACATAAGAACTGAGAATCTCTCTGGTCTCTCTCTGGTCTCTCTCCAGGCTCTCTCTCTGGTCTCTCTCTGGTCCCTCTCTGGTCTCTCTCTGGTCTCTCTCTGGTCCCTCTCTGGTCCCTCTCTGGTCTCTCTCTGGTCTCTCTCTCTCTGGTCTCTCTCTGGTCCCTCTCTGGTCTCTCTCTGGTCTCTCTCTGGTCTCTCTCTGGTCTCTCTCTGGTCTCTCTCTGGTCTCTCTCTGGTCCCTCTCTGGTCCCTCTCTGGTCTCTCTCTGGTCTCTCTCTGGTCTCTCTCTGGTCTCTCTCTGGTCCCTCTCTGGTCCCTCTCTGGTCTCTCTCTGGTCTCTCTCTGGTCTCTCTCTCTGGTCTCTCTCTCTGGTCTCTCTCTGGTCTCTCTCTCTGGTCTCTCTCTGGTCTCTCTCTGGTCTCTCTCTGGTCCATCTCTGGTCCCTCTCTGGTCTCTCTCTGGTCCATCTCTGGTCCCTCTCTGGTCTCTCTCTGGTCACTGATGTCACTCTCTCTGGTTTCAGTCAGGGTCCCGTACTTCATTGACCTCAAACGGCCCGTGGACCAAGGTTTGAACCACACTCATAACTTTTACCTGGAGCCGGAGCCTGGCAGCAGAGTGGGCGTGTGGTGAGTACCTCCAGGTGCTACGGGTTCGTCCAAACAGACAAAAGAGTTTTTTTCATTTTCCATTTTTGCAGCTTCTGTTAAAAGCAGAATGATGTTGGTTCTTTCATGTCTTTGCGGTGGCCTGAGGAGGGTGTTGTTGTTGAAGTGGTTATGCTGCCAGGGGTTGCGTGTGTTGGGGTTTAAAGTTCCACTGCCCCCTTCTGGTCGGGCGCTAGAACAACATAGTTTTCCGTTGTCGTGTAGACGCTGTGCACTTCGGATATGGAGCCTGGTCGATTGACGTGTAGAGAGATGACCTCTGACCTCTGACCTTCAGGCACACCGTTCCCTCCCGTCTGTGGAGAGAGGCTCAGGACGCAGACGCCTCGTGGTTCGAGTCCTCACTCACATCAGCTCAATCTGTGATTCTTTATCTCCATGGCAACTCAGGAACCAGGTACTGCTGCTGCTACTGGTACTACTATTACTACTGGTACTATAAAATAAAGTACTCTCCTGTGTTCCAGAGGAGGAGACCACCGCGTGCAGCTTTATAAGGTACTCTCTCTCTGATGTCTCTCTCAGGTGTCTCTCTCTCTGGTTTCATGCCGGTCTCTCTCTCTGGTCTCACGCCTGTTCTCTTTCAGGTCCTCAGTTCTCTGGGCTTCCACGTCATTGCCTTGGACTACAGAGGTGAGTCTCATGGTTCCTGGAGGATTCCATCAGTGTTAAACTGGGTCACGTGTGTGTTACAGACTGGGTCACGTGTGTGTTACAGACTGGGTCACGTGTGTGTTACAGACTGGGTCACGTGTGTGTTACAGACTGGGTCACGTGTGTGTTACAGACTGGGTCACATGTGTGTTACAGACTGGGTCACGTGTGTGTTACAGACTGGGTCACGTGTGTGTTACAGACTGGGTCACGTGTGTGTGTTACAGACTGGGTCACGTGTGTGTTACAGACTGGGTCACGTGTGTGTTACAGACTGGGTCACGTGTGTGTTACAGACTGGGTCACGTGTGTGTTACAGACTGGGTCACGTGTGTGTTACAGACTGGGTCACGTGTGTGTTACAGACTGGGTCACGTGTGTGTTACAGACTGGGTCACGTGTGTGTTACAGACTGGGTCACGTGTGTGTTACAGACTGGGTCACGTGTGTGTTACAGACTGGGTCAAATGCTGTGTGTTGCAGGATGGGGAGACTCGGACGGGTCGCCCTCAGAGTCTGGAATGACAACAGACGCTCTGTTGGTTTACGATTGGATCAAAGTCCGACACAAATCCCCACTGTTCGTCTGGGGCCACTCCCTGGGGACCGGGTAAGACTTGTTTTAGACCTGCTTAAGACCAGTGGGGGCGGGTCCCGGCTCAAAAAGGTTCATGAGCATGTGAGCCAAAAGTCGCTCTTGGCCCCAACGCTATGTTCCAGATGTCGATGCTGAGGGAAGTGTATATCTTTTCGGACCAGTTTAGTTTAGCCGCTATGGACTTTTCAGAATCAGGATCATTTTTATTGCCATGTAAGTAATGGGAAGTCACAGACATGGAATGTGCTTTGGCTCTCGGTGCAATCAAATCAAAAGTAGAGAAGAATAAGGCATAATAAACACATTTCTAAACATCTCTAAAGTAGAGCTTTTTCTAACTTGGAGGAAGGAGTTAAAAGTAAAGTCTGTTGAAGACTTTTGAAGGCATTTGTTAAATTAATGGGTCTCGTGTCGGCTGACGAATGTGCAAATGCATTTTTTAGTTTCAACAGCTGAAATAGGCGTGACTATGTCCGTCTATGCTTTTAGTCCTGCTTTAGTCCTGCTTTAGTCCTGCTTTAGTCCTGCATGAGACCTGGTCCAGACCTGATTCGGACCTGATATTAGTCTTTTTGATTTCAGAGTGGCCACAAACCTAGTGCGACGTCTTTGTGACAGAGGTATGTGTGAGATCACCCCTGACCCCTGACAGACTTTATACAGATGATGGACAGTTAGTGCTAACCTGCTAGCTTTATCTGGATGGTGTGTATTCATAAACGGCAGTAACTGTAAATACACCAGATCTACATCAGTCACAAACACTCATTCACCCCTCCCCTATTGTACATGTGTTTAGTGACAGGGGAAACTGGAGCACTTGGAGTATTCAGTGGCATTAGTATTAGCAGTAGCATTTGCAACGGTATTAGTATTGGCGTTAGCAGTAGCGGTAGATTTAGCATTAGCATTAGCATTAGCATTAGTAGCAGTATTGAGGAGTTTTATGGTGTGTTCACAGGTTCTCCTCCAGACGCTCTGATCCTGGAGTCTCCATTCACCAACATCAGAGAAGAAGCCAAGAGTCACCCCTTCTCCATGGTACTGTCCAGTCCTGGTCCAGACCTGGTCCAGACCTGGTCCAGTCCTGGTTCAGTCCTGGTCTCTGTTTCAGGTTTATCGGTTCCTTCCTGGTTTTGACTGGTTTTTCTTAGACACCATTTCTGCAAACAACATCTACTTCTCCAGCGACGAAAAGTATGTGCTACTGCTACTGCTGCTTGTGCGTCTCCTTTTACAGTCTGACTCCTTGTGTCCAGTGTGAACCACATCTCGTGTCCGCTGCTGATCCTTCACGCTGAAGACGATGCTGTGGTGCCATTCCACCTGGGGATGAAGGTCAGAAGTCTAGGCTCTGGTCTCTCTCTGGTCTCTGGTCTCTCTCTGGTCTTTAACCTGACCCCTCTCTCCTCAGTTGTACACGTTGGCATCCCGGTCCAAAAGCCTCTCTGGTCATAAAGTCCAGTTTGTTCCGTTTGCTGCGTCTCTTTCCTACAAACACAAGTTCATCTACCGCAGCCCTGAGCTCCCACACATCCTCAGGTGAGAGCCCTGTGAGTCACTATCTGCCTCCTCCGTGAGAGCCCTGTGAGTCACTATCTGCCTCCTCAGTGAGAGCCCTGTGAGTCACTATCTGCCTCCTCAGTGAGAGCCCTGTGAGTCACTATCTGCCTCCTCCGTGAGAGCCCTGTGAGTCACTATCTGCCTCCTCAGTGAGAGCCCTGTGAGTCACTATCTGCCTCCTCATTGAGAGCCCTGTGAGTCACTATCTGCCTCCTCCGTGAGAGCCCTGTGAGTCACTATCTGCCTCCTCAGTGAGAGCCCAGTGAGAGCCCTGTGAGTCACTATCTGCCTCCTCCGTGAGAGCCCTGTGAGTCACTATCTGCCTCCTCCGTGAGAGCCCTGTGAGTCACTATCTGCCTCCCCAGTGAGAGCCCTGTGAGTCACTATCTGCCTCCTCCGTGAGAGCCCTGTGAGTCACTATCTGCCTCCTCAGTGAGAGCCCTGTGAGTCACTATCTGCCTCCTCAGTGAGAGCCCTGTGAGTCACTATCTGCCTCCTCAGTGAGAGCCCTGTGAGTCACTATCTGCCTCCTCCGTGAGAGCCCTGTGAGTCACTATCTGCCTCCTCCGTGAGAGCCCTGTGAGTCACTATCTGCCTCCTCAGTGAGAGCCCTGTGAGTCACTATCTGCCTCCTCAGTGAGAGCCCTGTGAGTCACTATCTGCCTCCTCCGTGAGAGCCCTGTGAGTCACTATCTGCCTCCTCAGTGAGAGCCCTGTGAGTCACTATCTGCCTCCTCAGTGAGAGCCCTGTGAGTCACTATCTGCCTCCTCAGTGAGAGCCCTGTGAGTCACTATCTGCCTCCTCAGTGAGAGCCCTGTGAGTCACTATCTGCCTCCTCAGTGAGAGCCCTGTGAGTCACTATCTGCCTCCTCAGTGAGAGCCCTGTGAGTCACTATCTGCCTCCTCAGTGAGAGCCCTGTGAGTCACTATCTGCCTCCTCATTGAGAGCCCTGTGAGTCACTATCTGCCTCCTCCGTGAGAGCCCTGTGAGTCACTATCTGCCTCCTCAGTGAGAGCCCAGTGAGAGCCCTGTGAGTCACTATCTGCCTCCTCCGTGAGAGCCCAGTGAGAGCCCTGTGAGTCACTATCTGCCTCCTCCGTGAGAGCCCTGTGAGTCACTATCTGCCTCCTCCGTGAGAGCCCTGTGAGTCACTATCTGCCTCCCCAGTGAGAGCCCTGTGAGTCACTATCTGCCTCCTCCGTGAGAGCCCTGTGAGTCACTATCTGCCTCCTCAGTGAGAGCCCTGTGAGTCACTATCTGCCTCCTCAGTGAGAGCCCTGTGAGTCACTATCTGCCTCCTCAGTGAGAGCCCTGTGAGTCACTATCTGCCTCCTCCGTGAGAGCCCTGTGAGTCACTATCTGCCTCCTCCGTGAGAGCCCTGTGAGTCACTATCTGCCTCCTCAGTGAGAGCCCTGTGAGTCACTATCTGCCTCCTCAGTGAGAGCCCAGTGAGAGCCCTGTGAGTCACTATCTGCCTCCTCCGTGAGAGCCCAGTGAGAGCCCTGTGAGTCACTATCTGCCTCCTCCGTGAGAGCCCTGTGAGTCACTATCTGCCTCCTCAGTGAGAGCCCTGTGAGTCACTATCTGCCTCCTCAGTGAGAGCCCTGTGAGTCACTATCTGCCTCCTCAGTGAGAGCCCTGTGAGTCACTATCTGCCTCCTCAGTGAGAGCCCTGTGAGTCACTATCTGCCTCCTCAGTGAGAGCCCTGTGAGTCACTATCTGCCTCCTCCGTGAGAGCCCTGTGAGTCACTATCTGCCTCCTCAGTGAGAGCCCTGTGAGTCACTATCTGCCTCCTCCGTGAGAGCCCTGTGAGTCACTATCTGCCTCCTCAGTGAGAGCCCTGTGAGTCACTATCTGCCTCCTCCGTGAGAGCCCTGTGAGTCACTATCTGCCTCCTCCGTGAGAGCCCTGTGAGTCACTATCTGCCTCCTCAGTGAGAGCCCTGTGAGTCACTATCTGCCTCCTCAGTGAGAGCCCTGTGAGTCACTATCTGCCTCCTCCGTGAGAGCCCTGTGAGTCACTATCTGCCTCCTCCGTGAGAGCCCTGTGAGTCACTATCTGCCTCCTCCGTGAGAGCCCTGTGAGTCACTATCTGCCTCCTCAGTGAGAGCCCTGTGAGTCACTATCTGCCTCCTCAGTGAGAGCCCTGTGAGTCACTATCTGCCTCCTCAGTGAGAGCCCTGTGAGTCACTATCTGCCTCCTCCGTGAGAGCCCTGTGAGTCACTATCTGCCTCCTCCGTGAGAGCCCTGTGAGTCACTATCTGCCTCCTCCGTGAGAGCCCTGTGAGTCACTATCTGCCTCCTCCGTGAGAGCCCTGTGAGTCACTATCTGCCTCCTCAGTGAGAGCCCTGTGAGTCACTATCTGCCTCCTCAGTGAGAGCCCTGTGAGTCACTATCTGCCTCCTCCGTGAGAGCCCAGTGAGAGCCCTGTGAGTCACTATCTGCCTCCTCAGTGAGAGCCCTGTGAGTCACTATCTGCCTCCCCAGTGAGAGCCCTGTGAGTCACTATCTGCCTCCTCCGTGAGAGCCCTGTGAGAGCCCTGTGAGTCACTATCTGCCTCCTCCGTGAGAGCCCTGTGAGTCACTATCTGCCTCCTCAGTGAGAGCCCTGTGAGTCACTATCTGCCTCCTCAGTGAGAGCCCTGTGAGTCACTATCTGCCTCCTCAGTGAGAGCCCTGTGAGTCACTATCTGCCTCCTCAGTGAGAGCCCTGTGAGTCACTATCTGCCTCCTCCGTGAGAGCCCTGTGAGTCACTATCTGCCTCCTCCGTGAGAGCCCAGTGAGAGCCCTGTGAGTCACTATCTGCCTCCTCCGTGAGAGCCCTGTGAGAGCCCTGTGAGTCACTATCTGCCTCCTCCGTGAGAGCCCTGTGAGTCACTATCTGCCTCCTCAGTGAGAGCCCTGTGAGTCACTATCTGCCTCCTCCGTGAGAGCCCTGTGAGTCACTATCTGCCTCCTCCGTGAGAGCCCTGTGAGTCACTATCTGCCTCCTCAGTGAGAGCCCTGTGAGTCACTATCTGCCTCCTCCGTGAGAGCCCTGTGAGTCCCTGTGAGAGCCTGTGACTCATATCTGCCTCCTCCGTGAGAGCCCTGTGAGTCACTATCTGCCTCCTCGTGAGAGCCCTGTGAGTCACTATCTGCCTCCTCAGTGAGAGCCCTGTGAGTCACTATCTGCCTCCTCAGTGAGAGCCCTGTGAGTCACTATCTGCCTCCTCCGTGAGAGCCCGTGAGAGCCCTGTGAGTCACTATCTGCCTCCTCGTGAGAGCCCTGTGAGAGCCCTGTGAGTCACTATCTGCCTCCTCAGAGCCCTGTGAGTCAGCCCTCGTGAGAGCCCTTCCTGTGAGTCACTATCTGCCTCCTCAGTGAGAGCCCTGTGAGTCACTATCTGCCTCCTCAGTGAGAGCCCTGTGAGTCACTATCTGCCTCCTCAGTGAGAGCCCTGTGAGTCACTATCTGCCTCCTCAGTGAGAGCCCTGTGAGTCACTATCTGCCTCCTCCGTGAGAGCCCGTGAGAGCCCTGTGAGTCACTATCTGCCTCCTCAGTGAGAGCCCTGTGAGTCACTATCTGCCTCCTCAGTGAGAGCCCTGTGAGTCACTATCTGCCTCCTCAGTGAGAGCCCTGTGAGTCACTATCTGCCTCCTCAGTGAGAGCCCTGTGAGTCACTATCTGCCTCCTCAGTGAGAGCCCTGTGAGTCACTATCTGCCTCCTCAGTGAGAGCCCTGTGAGTCACTATCTGCCTCCTCAGTGAGAGCCCTGTGAGTCACTATCTGCCTCCTCAGTGAGAGCCCTGTGAGTCACTATCTGCCTCCTCAGTGAGAGCCCTGTGAGTCACTATCTGCCTCCTCAGTGAGAGCCCTGTGAGTCACTATCTGCCTCCTCAGTGAGAGCCCTGTGAGTCACTATCTGCCTCCTGAGAGCCCTGGTGAGAGCCCTGTGAGTCACTATCTGCCTCCTCAGTGAGAGCCCTGTGAGTCACTATCTGCCTCCTCAGTGAGAGCCCTGTGAGTCACTATCTGCCTCCTCAGTGAGAGCCCTGTGAGTCACTATCTGCCTCCTCAGTGAGAGCCCTGTGAGTCACTATCTGCCTCCTCAGTGAGAGCTGACAAAGTACAGGTGAAAACAAGTTTCAAACCCCAGCTTTAATTAGAATCACAAACTAGGAAATTGGTTTGACTCTCAGTGCAAACAGGTTAAAAAGTAAAACGTTGTTGGAACAGTCCATGTGCAGGTGACAGGGGAGTGCTGGAACAGTTCATGTGCCGCCATCTTGTTTATTACAGACCTCATCTTTAGGGAGTCTCATTTTTATGAATTTCTCTTAGATAGATAGATAAAGGGATCTATAAAGTATCTAACTCGGTCTAATTGAGTTTGTTTGTGTTTCAGTCACTTCCTGGAGATCTCTCTGCCACGGACTCCTGACCCCTGACCCTGACCCTGGACCAGATCTCTTTCATTCCATAATCATATTTTTATCCAGTTTTGTTCCTGTTTGACTTGAAATATAATAAAGACGTTCCTCTGATCCAGGTTTTTTGGACTCACTGCTGTCGTAGAGAGTGTCTGGTGCCATGTGCCAAGTGGTAACCATGTAACTATCTCTGGACTCGAACATCTGCTCAAAGGTTCATGTAAACACGTTTCTGTAGTGTCCAGTTCCAACGTCTCAGAGTCCTCTTGGATCTGAGGTTCGGATGAAGTTGAAGCACAGTCCACATAAGACTTTTCAATGGTGCTACTGCCCCCTGCTGGCGCGCACACGCACACAGAGGGACTTGAAATGTGCAAGGATAAACATCAAAAATATTTACAGTCTTTGATCAGTGTAAATGGTGTGTCTGCTGTTAATGTACTGTGTGTGTGGGTCCACAGGAGGGGGCGGGGCGCACAAGATAAAAGAGTCAGGACTGACCTGTATTTGTTGTTGACCGTTTGCCTTTTATGTTGAGTTTGCTCACATCATACGTTACAGTTCACCAGTTTATCAATTATCCATGTTTTGTTTGCAGTGCTATTTACCCACTCTGACCCACTATGACCCACTCTGACCCACTCTGACTCACTCTGAGCAAGTTAGTGTTGGATCTCATTTGCAATAGTCGTGGGGGTTAGGGTTGAATTGCTTCATACTCTTCCTGGTTATGGAACATATTCACTTTTGTCAATTATAAACATTTAACATATCACTGGACACAACTGAAGAGATAATAATTTTGTAGCATTTGACTCATTTCTGTGTCAGAGAAATGTGTAAAGGTAAAGGTGCACTTCATTAATCCGGTCGGGAAATTCATCCTCTGCATTTGACCCATCCGTAGCTGTGGTACTGCGCCCGGGAACCCATCTCCACATGTTGATGCTCGGCTTGCACACTTACCCAGCGTGCATGAGCGTGCTGTCCACTCAGCCACTGTGTCGCTGTGGACAGAGACACCAGGGCAGGGTCATAGTGACTTTCAATGGACCATTGTAGAGCAGACTGCTGCTGCGCTAACTCTGCACAGAGACACAGAGGAGACAGAGACACAGAGGAGACAGAGACACAGAGGAGGCAGAGACACAGAGGAGACAGAGACACAGGAGACAGAGACACAGAGGAGGCAGAGACACAGAGGAGACAGAGACACAGAGGAGGCAGAGACACAGAGGAGACAGAGACACAGAGGAGGCAGAGACACAGAGGAGGCAGAGACACAGAGGAGGCAGAGACACAGAGGAGGCAGAGACACAGAGGAGGCAGAGACACAGAGGAGACAGAGACACAGAGGAGGCAGAGACACAGAGGAGGCAGAGACACAGAGGAGACAGAGACACAGAGGAGACAGAGACACAGAGGAGACAGAGACACAGAGGAGACAGAGACACAGGAGACAGAGACACAGAGGAGACAGAGACACAGAGGAGACAGAGACACAGAGGAGACAGAGACACAGAGGACACAGAGACACAGAGGAGACAGAGACACAGAGGAGGCAGAGACACAGAGGAGGCAGAGACACAGAGGAGGCAGAGATACAGAGGAGGCAGAGACACAGAGGAGGCAGAGACACAGAGGAGGCAGAGATACAGAGGACACAGAAACAGAGGAGACAGAGACACAGAGGACGCGTTAGTTCAAAAATTCTTTATTTAAATCTAATTTGAAACAGAAAAATATTTCAGTATATTGAAAACATTCCAACAGAAGAGATGTGGCCACAGCTGCCTCAGGGCGACCCCTGACCCTGACGTCTGACCCTAACTTCTGACCCCTAACCCTAACCTTTGCCCCTAACCTCCGACCCAAACATTTGACCCTAACCTCTGACCCTAACCTTTGACCCTAACCTTTGACCCTAACATCTGGCCCTAATCTTTGACCCTAACCTTTGACCCTAACCTTTGACCCTAACATTTGACCCTAACCTTTGACCCTAACCTTTGACCCTAACATTTGACCCTAACCTTTGTCCCTAACATCTGGCCCTAATCTTTGACCCTAACCTTTGACCCTAATATTTGACCCTCACCACTGACCTCTGACCCTGACCCAACCTACAGGGACTAATATGTTTCAAACGAATGTGCGAAATGTTACAACTTTAAAAATGTGAAACACCACATAATGCCCTAAACCAGGACCAGGACTGAGATCAGGACCTGGTCTAAACCAGACTGAATTTAAATCCCTAAAGTCACAGAAATATGATTCACTCAATGCCCCTTTTCTGAATATCTACAACAATTGTAAACACAACACAGGAACCAGGTCTAAACCGGGTCTGAAGTAGGACTGAACCTAGCCTGGTCGTACCACACCATAACATTACATTTCAGGGAAATGATGATTGAGCAGAGTGTACGGATGGCTAAGGCCAGGCTAGACTGAACCAGGTCTGAACCAGGTCCTGGTTGTGTTTAACTGATGGAAAAACATTTATAAATAAATAAAGAAATAAATATGAAAAACCATCAGTTATACAAAGAAATAAAGAGATTTGTGCAAAACCAGAGACACCAGTGACAGGACCAGGACCAGGTCTGGACCAGGACCAGGGAGTCACCTCTAAAGTCACTATTATGTTTTTGGTGTCAGTCAGTAGTGAGTAGTAACATAGAGATCCAGGTTATAGCTGGATCTCTATGCAGCAGCAGAGAAGCGGCCCCCTGCAGACACCAGAAACGGGAAGAGCTTGTTCATCTGAGCCAAAATGTCTTTCCATCTGAGCCAAAATGTCTGTCCATCTGAGCCAGAACGTGTGTCCATCTGAGCCAGAACGTGTGTCCATCTGAGCCAGGCCGTCTGATGCCCTACCACAGCTCCAAGCCTGGTCTAGACCTGGCTCAAGTTCTTTCTGCCTCTGATTCAAACGTTACTTTTCTTTATTTATAATTCCTCTCAGGGAAAAGGATGAAGTGAAGAGAAGTGGGAATGATTCTGTCCAGAACACAGAGCAGAGCGCCCCCTGCTGTCAGGCCACAGTACTTGATTTGATTAAATAATGGTTTAAACTGTGAGACTGATGTAATACCATTTGTGCCCAGCAGGAGACGCCTCTGACACAGCTGTAGTGCAGGAGCAGATTTACATATCATGTACAAACAAACGTAGATAATACTCATATTTTAAACTTAAATACTTATATATAAAAGAGAACTGGCACAACGTTCTATTCAAATAAATGTTCATCAAGAAAACTCCACAGCTGAAGGTTTGGATTTTACCTGGATGTCACTGTGTAACCATAGTAACCACAGTCTGTATGTGGACAATGCTAACCCGTGAGCTCTATGCTAACCCACTAACTGAATGAAGCCTAGTGACGTGCTCATGCTAAAGTTTAGCTCCTCTCTATAACTCCTATTGACTTTACTCAGTTTGAGCCACACTCACAATTTTGGACTTAAATCTGTGGTTTAGAGCTTTCTTTTTTATCACTCTGTGGTTTAGAGCTCTCTGTTTTATCACTCTGTGGTTAGAGCTCTCTGTTTTATCACTCTGTGGTTAGAGCTCTCTGTTTTATCACTCTGTGGTTAGAGCTCTCTGTTTTATCACTCTGTGGTTTAGAGCTCTCTGTTTTATCACTCTGTGGTTAGAGCTCTCTGTTTTATCACTCTGTGGTTTAGAGCTCTCTGTTTTATCACTCTGTGGTTAGAGCTCTCTGTTTTATCACTCTGTGGTTTAGAGCTCTCTGTTTTATCACTCTGTGGTTTAGAGCTCTCTGTTTTATCACTCTGTGGTTAGAGCTCTCTGTTTTATCACTCTGTGGTTAGAGCTCTCTGTTTTATCACTCTGTGGTTAGAGCTCTCTGTTTTATCACTCTGTGGTTAGAGCTCTCTGTTTTATCACTCTGTGGTTAGAGCTCTCTGTTTTATCACTCTGTGGTTAGAGCTCTCTGTGTTCCTGCTGTTTATATTGTGATGTTGTCCTGATGTTGTCCTTGTTAGTCAGCTCTAATGAGCCTCTTCCACATAAAAACTTACACACTGGGTCAGTCCACTCACAGTCTGTGGCCACAAGGAGACTAGGATCAGGACCAGGACAAACTTTCCGGTACAGAACCTTTGGGGTTCAGCATTTTTCTGATCCGTAAAAGCTCACATTAGAGCTGTTTTTTTCTCTGTAGTGTAGCTTGGAGGACGTGTGTTGGTAAGTTTGCAGTGGTTGGACTTCCAGACCCAGACCTTCTCAGCTCGGAGCAGTATTTACACAAAACACAAACATATTAAACACTTTGATCTGTACAAAAATCTGGGTCAAATGTTCAGACTGTATTTACATAACTCTGTACAAACAATAATGAGGCAACAGTCAAACAGCAGGGACCCAACACTGCTGTTGCTATGGTAACAGCGGGGACCCAACACTGCTGTTGCTATGGTAACAGCGGGGACCCAACACTGCTGTGGCTATGGTAACAGCTGGGACCCAACACTGCTGTGGCTATGGTAACAGCTGGGACCCAACACTGCTGTTGCTATGGTAACAGCGGGGACCCAACACTGTTGTTGCTATGGTAACAGCGGGGACCCAACACTGCTGTGGCTATGGTAACGGCAGGGACCCCAACACTGCTGTGGCTATGGTAACGGCAGGGACCCCAACACTGCTGTGGCTAAGGTAACGGCAGGGACCCCAACACTGCTGTGGCTATGGTAACAGCGGGGACCCAACACTGCTGTGGCTATGGTAACAGCGGGGACCCAACACTGCTGTGGCTATGGTAACAGCGGGGACCCAACACTGCTGTGGCTATGGTAACGGCAGGGACCCCAACACTGCTGTGGCTATGGTAACGGCAGGGACCCCAACACTGCTGTGGCTATGGTAACGGCAGGGACCCCAACACTGCTGTGGCTAAGGTAACGGCAGGGACCCCAACACTGCTGTGGCTATGGTAACAGCGGGGACCCAACACTGCTGTGGCTATGGTAACAGCGGGGACCCAACACTGCTGTGGCTATGGTAACAGCGGGGACCCAACACTGCTGTGGCTATGGTAACAGCGGGGACCCAACACTGCTGTTGCTTAAAAGTCCAGGAGCGTACATTAGAGACGGGGGTCTCTACTGTACACAGAGCTGCGTCCTCGTCTCCTCAGGCCAACTGGAACGGGTGCTGCCCCTGAAAGAATCATCTTGTTGTGATCACAGAGACATGTGACCCTGGTCTCCAGGGAGACAGGGCTCTGACCCCTGGTCTCCATGGAGATTGGGCTCTGAAGCCTGGTCTCCATGAAGACAGGATACACAAACACTCAATGTAAAACACTTAAAAACATTAGTAAAGTAAAGCCACGCAGAATCAGAGCGATTGGTTTAATGAACAACAAACAAACTCCATTATTACTTTATATAAAGACAATAATTTTAAAATTTTATTATAACTTTATTATAACAGTTACATCTGTGACAGGGGTCAGTGACGGCAAAACACAACAACAACGAGATGAAGACTGCAGCTCCGCACACAGGCTAGCTTAGCTTAACTGTTAGCTTGCTGTTAGCATTAGTGCATACTGTAATGTTTCATAAATATAACATGTGAGGACAGAGCTTCAGAATGATGCTAACGCTAACAACTCTGAAGCTAGCTCGCTTGTGTTCACAGACCCGATCTTCCTGAACATATTTTAAGTAAATTATACAATATTCAGTTTTAAGACATGTACGTTTTAACACACATCTCTAAGTCCCTGTATTGTAGCATCAACGCATTAGCTTATCGTTAGCATTACAGCTAACAATTTAGCTTTTAAACTTGATGAACCTCACTCTGCACCAGACAAACGCAGAACTCTGAAGCTGTGACTAAATGTCTGTTCACAGTCAGACTGTACAACGAGAGGTGCTGAGCCCCACTGTCAGACTCTTGCCCAGAGAGCGAGAGAGACCGGAGAGACACCAGAGACCACCAGAGAGAGACCGGGGAGACTAGCATCAGAGCTTTTTATCAAAGTTCAGTGTGTGTTTGGTACAAAGCAGAGATGCTACATGCGCTGCTAACCGCTACATGAGCTGCTAACCGCTACATGAGCTGCTAACCGCTACATGAGCTGCTAACCGCTACGTGAGCTGCTAACCGCTACATGAGCTGCTAACCGCTACATGAGCTGCTAACCGCTACATGAGCTGCTAACCGCTACATGAGCTGCTAACCGCTACATGAGCTGCTAACCGCTACATGAGCTGCTAACCGCTACATGAGCAACTAACCGCTACATGAGCAACTAACCGCTACATGAGCTGCTAACCGCTACATGAGCTGCTAACCGCTACATGAGCTGCTAACAGTTACATGAGCTGCTAACCGTTACGTGAGCTGCTAACCACATGAGCTGCTAACCGCTACATGAGCTGCTAACTGTTACATGAGCAACAAAAACAGAAATAATACTTTTATTACAGATATCAGAGCTGCCCACGCTTCGCCAGTTTGACTTTGACTCTTTGACACACACATGACACCAGGGGGCGCTCTCCCAGGACACACACATGACACCAGGGGGCGCTCTCCCAGGACACACACATGACACTGGGGGCGCTCTCCCAGGACACACACATGACACCAGGGGGCGCTCTCCCAGGACACACACATGACACCAGGGGGCGCTCTCCCAGGACACACACATGACACCAGGGGGCGCTCTCCCAGGACACACACATGACACCAGGGGGCGCTCTCCCAGGACACACACATGACACCAGGGGGCGCTCTCCCAGGACACACACAACACACAGGGGGCGCTCTCCCAGGACACACACATGACACCAGGGGGCGCTCTCCCAGGACACACACATGACACCAGGGGGCGCTCTCCCAGGACACACACATGACACCAGGGGGCGCTCTCCCAGGACACACACATGACACCAGGGGGCGCTCTCCCAGGACACACACATGACACTGGGGGCGCTCTCCCAGGACACACACATGACACCAGGGGGCGCTCTCCCAGGACACACACATGACACCAGGGGGCGCTCTCCCAGGACACACACAACACCAGGGGGCGCTCTCCCAGGACACACACATGACACCAGGGGGCGCTCTCCCAGGACACACACATGACACCAGGGGGCGCTCTCCCAGGACACACACAACACCAGGGGGCGCTCTCCCAGGACACACACATGACACCAGGGGGCGCTCTCCCAGGACACACACATGACACCAGGGGGCGCTCTCTCAGGACACACACATGACACTGGGGGCGCTCTCCCAGGACACACACATGACACTGGGGGCGCTCTCCCAGGACACACACATGACACCAGGGGGCGCTCTCCCAGGACACACACATTTAAGATTTACAGCTGGAGATCTGACACACAACGTTTTTAAAGTGGAACATACAGTAAGTAAGTAAGTAATCTTTATTTATATACCGCCTTTCTCAGACGAGTCACAAAGCGGTTTACAATAGTTATTTTTTTGGGTTTTGTCCTCTCACAGAGATGGGAGCGGGGTCGCGAATACAGGAGGCGTATGCCAGTATGCCTATTGTACATGTTTATAGTGGTAGGGGAAACCGGAGTACCCGGAGGAAACCTACGCAGACACAGGGAGAACATGCAAACTCCACTCAGAAAGTGTATGTGTGTGTGTGTTGCGTGTGTTCCACTTTGAGGCCTTGTGTTTCAGATCTTCCAGATGTTTCCAGCTCCACATCAGCAGCATGGTCCATAAACTCCAGAAAAATAACTTAAATATATTCTGCACACATGACAAGGTCAGAGGTCAGGGGTCAACCTAACCCTGACTCATGTCATGGTCAAATAGCTGCATAGATATACATCAATATTAAAATAGACTTTTACAGTTACTCCCAGCCTTCATACTCGGATACTCGGACATAAATAAATACCACAGCGGAGTTAGGGTCACTGCAAAGACAGAGCACACTGTTAGAGCAGACTCACACCAGGGGGCGCTGCAGCAACAACACTCACTTTGTTCCAGCAGCCAGGGACCGGCAAACCATCTTCACCCTGAGGGAGAGAAAGACCAGGGTGAGACCAGGGAGGGACCAGAGAGAGACCAAAGAGAGGCCAGGGGGGGAATCACAGAGAGACCAGGGAGGGACGAGAGACCAGAAAGAGAGAGACCAGAGAATTACCAGGGAGAGACCAGGGAAGGACTAGAGAGAGAAAGAGCAGTGAGACCAGAGAGAGACCAGGGAGGGACCAGAGAGAGACCAGGGAGGGAGAGACCAGGGTAATACCAGGGAAGGGCCAGAGAGAAACAAGGAAGGGACCAGAGAGAGACCAGAAAGAGACCAGGGTGAGGGTAGATTCAGCACAGAGTGATTTCAACAGGAAAACAGTTTGATGTCTCTGCACCTGGGACGTTTGGGCCAGGACACCTACTGAGACGCACAACAATACATCTGTAGTGTTTACATCAGGGTCAGAGCAGAAGACAGTGGGTCCTGTGTTTTGCAGTAAGCTATGGTCCAGTGGAATTGTCTGTGAAAGTCCACATGCTGGGACTCCTCAGGTCGTCATGGTAACAGCTGCATGCTGGGAGTCATACCACGGCACAGGGAGCGTCCAGCCCGTCCAGGCCTGGCAGACCCGGCTCTCCCTTCTCTCCTTTAAATCCTCTGAAGCCCTGGAACACGCCACATGGTCGAACACCAGTCCTGACCCGGGACAGGACCCAGGTTGTCCCCCTGACCGGGTCCTCCCCCCTGACCCGGGTCTCCCTTCTGACCCGTCCATCGCTGCAGCTCAGACTCAACATGCAGCCAAGCTGTCACTGACAGGAACCGGCTCTGCGACCACAACACTGCTAACGCTAGTGCCATTTAATTAATTTTATTAACCTTTAATCAACCAGCTAATGCTAACGTTAATGCTAGTTCTAATGGTTCGAGCAGTGTCTTGGTTCGTGTCATTTCCTCCTGAAAAACCTCCGCAGCTCAGGCCTCAGGTCTGGTCTGCTCTGGTTTCTGGTCTCTCTCTCTAGTCTTTCTCTGGTCTCTCTCTGATCTCTCTCTGATCTCTCTCTGGTCTCTATCCGGGTCTCTCTGGTCTCTTCCTGGTCTCTCTCTGGTCTGCAGAAGAATCCATTGAGTCCAGATCTGAAACCCGAGCATGCGGGGCATGATACAGCTTGAGCCACGAGGAACCTGTCTCTGGTTCCTCTTGACTCCTGGTGCCACCTGGTCCTCCTCACACACATACCAGAGGGCAGGGAGCGTCCAGTCCTGGTGCTCCTTGGTCTCCCTTCTCCCCTCTGTTCCCCCTGTTGCCCTTCTTTCCTCTCTCTCCCTGCAACAACAGCCGTTACAGCTTTAGTCCTCAGGGGTCACCTTCATGGGGTGACCCGGATCAGAGTGGCCGGAGGGTTAGGGGAAGTGAGTGATGGCAGGCTCAGCCAGTGTCTGTTGTATCTATCTATAAAGACAGGAGTGTAAACCCTGACCAGGGGTCATCACCCTCTGCTGGAGGTCACTGCTTTTAAAGCTGGGGGACTTGACTTTTTACACAAATAATTAACTTAGAAAAATCTTCATCGTTAGTGTAAGAAAGAGCCCTGTCAGTCACCAGGTGACTCTTTGGGCTGAGAGTGGAGTGTGGATGGTCACAGGGTAAAAATAATTTAAATTTACAGTCCCAACTTTAAAGTTAAGACTCTCATACCCAGACATTCACACTCTAGGATGAGCCTGTGACGTCACACACAGCTGTGTGTGTTGTCATAGACTGCTGTATGATGTCATTGACAGCTGTATGATGTCATAGACAGCTGTGTGACGTCATAGACAGCTGTGTGACATCATAGACAGCTGAGTGATGTCATAGACAGCTGTGTGATGTCATAAACAGCTGTGTGATGTCAAAGACAGCTGTGAGATGTCAAAGACAGCTGTGTGATGTCATAGACAGCTGTGTGTTGTCATAGACAGCTGTGTGATGTCATAGACAGCTGTGTGACATGATAGACAGCTGTGTGATGTCATAGACAGCTGTGTGATGTCATAGACAGCTGTGTGATGTCATAGGCAGCTGAGTGATGTCATAGACAGCTGTGTGATGTCATAGACAGCTGTGTGTTGTCATAGACAGCTGTGTGATGTCATAGACAGCTGTGTGACATGATAGACAGCTGTGTGATGTCATAGACAGCTGTGTGATGTCATAGACAGCTGTGTGATGTCATAGGCAGCTGTGTGATGTCATAGACAGCTGTGTGATGTCATAGGCAGCTGTGTGATGTCATAGACAGCTGTGTGATGTCATACACAGCTGTCCATTATTCCGGAGAGACATTGGCTGAGCTGAGGGGGTGAGGTTAGGTTTAGTTCAGGTGAAGGAGCAGGCTGTGAGAGGCAGGGGGCGCCACAGAGGCCCCAAGGAGAGAGGAGGCAAGGAGGCAAGGAAAGGAAACAAGGAAGTGACCCGAGCAGGGGGGGGAGGGGGGAGAGGAGAGACCTGTGGAAACACAGAGGAACAAAGGTCAAAGGGCACAAGCTGCCAACTCCAGACCAGGTTAGACCAGTTGAGACTGGTTTAGACTGGTTCAGACCTGGGACTGTGGTTGGCAGCTCTGAAAGGAAAGGATTTCAGCGCATCCACTGTGTCAGGATAATGTCATACATTATGTGTCTGTCTGTGTGTCTGTCTGTGTGTCTGTGTGTCTGTCTGTGTCTGTCTGTGTGTCTGTCTGTGTGTCTGTGTGTCTGTCTGTGTGTCTGTCTGTGTCTGTCTGTGTGTCTGTCTGTGTGTCTGTCTGTGTCTGTCTGTGTGCTGTCTGTGTGTCTGTCTGTGTGTCTGTCTGTGTGTCTGTCTGTGTGTCTGTCTGTGTCTGTCTGTGTGCTGTCTGTGTGTCTGTCTGTGTGTCTGTCTGTGTCTGTCTGTGTGCTGTCTGTGTGTCTGTCTGTGTGTCTGTCTGTGTCTGTCTGTGTGTCTGTCTGTGTCTGTCTGTGTGTCTGTCTGTGTGTCTGTCTGTGTCTGTCTGTACTGTTTGTGTGTCTGTCTGTGTGTCTGTCTGTGTGTCTGTCTGTGTCTGTCTGTGTGCTGTCTGTGTGTCTGTCTGTGTGTCTGTCTGTGTGTCTGTCTGTGTGCTGTCTGTGTGTCTGTCTGTGTGTCTGTCTGTGTGTCTGTCTGTGTGTCTGTCTGTGTCTGTCTGTGTCTGTCTGTCTGTCTGTGTCTGTCTGTGTGTCTGTCTGTGTGTCTGTCTGTGTGTCTGTCTGTGTCTGTCTGTGTGCTGTCTGTGTGTCTGTCTGTGTGTCTGTCTGTGTGTCTGTCTGTGTGTCTGTCTGTACTGTCTGTGTGTCTGTCTGTGTGTCTGTCTGTACTGTTTGTGTGTCTGTCTGTGTGTGTGTGTGTGTATTTCTGTGTGTCTGTGTGTACTGTATGTGTATGTCTGTGTTTGTTTGTGTGTGTGCTGTGTGTCTAGGTTGTGTGTGTGTCATGTGTGTTGTGTGTTTGTGGAGGTGCTGAAACCAGGAGGAGGTTAAAGGGAATCAAACCAGAGGGAAACACACTGAACACAATATTTAAACATTCAGAGGTTGTTTCACAGCAGCAAACCAAAACAGACCAAACTGGTCCGGTTCCAGACCAAACCAGTCCTGACCAAACCAAACCAGATTGGACCAGACCAGACCAAAACAGACCAAACCGGACCAGATTAAATCAAACCAAATCAAACCAGACCAGACCAAACCAAACCAGACAGACCCAGATCGGACCAAACCAGATTGAACCTGACCGGACCAGACCAGACCAAATCAGATGGGACCAACCCAGTCCAGACCGGAACAGACCAGACCAAAGCCGACCAGACCGGACCAAACCGGACCAGGCCAGACTAAACCACAACGAGCCAGACCAAACCAGAACAGACTATACCAGACCAAAACAGACCGAATAGACCAGACCAATCAGACAAAACCAGACCAGACCGGACCAGACAAGACCAAACTGGACCAGGCCAGACCAAACCAGACCGGGCCAGAACAGACCAAACCAGACTAGAATGGACTAGACTGGACCAGAAGAAACCAGTCAAGGCCAGACAAGACCAGACAAAACCAAACCAGACCAGACCAGGCCAGACCAAAACAAGCTAGGCCAGACCCAACCAGACCAGACCAAACAGGACCAAGCCAGACCAGATCAAATCGGATCATACCAGACCAGACCAGACAAGACCAAACCAGACTAGACCAGATCAAACAAGACTAGGCCAGACCAAACCAGACCAGCAGATTGGACCAGACCAGAATAGATCAAACCAGATTGACCAGACCAGAACAAATAGGAACCAGACCAAATCAGAACTAGATCAGACCGAACCAGACCAAACCAGACCAGACAAGGTAAAACCAGGCTGTTGATCCGCCCTTTAACTCTTTGAATGAGATCAGATCAGTTACAAACTTTATCTGTGGAGAGGCGAGTCCTGCTGCTGTGAAACAACCAGAACCAGAACCAGACACTTACCCGAGCCCCCTTCAGTCCTTGAGGTCCCACCAAGCCCTGCACACACACAGAAGACCCACTGTAAGACCCATTCCAGACCAGGCCAAACCAGACCCAGACCCAGACCCAGACCTGACCCAGACCTGACCCAGAGCCAGCCCCTGGATGATGTCTGGGGTTCTCACCGTGAGCCCGTGAGGCCCGGCAGGTCCGGCAGGTCCTGGTAAACCCCAATCTCCTTTCTCGCCCTAAAACCAAAGAAACGTCAGAAACAACAAACCGCTACATTCAAGCCTCCACCACTCACCTGCTCCCCCTTTGGTCCCGCGGGTCCTGGTATCCCAGCTGGTCCAAGCAGACCCTAAAACACATTCACACACACACACACACACACACACACACACACACACAAACACAGACACAAAGAAACTTTAGCACAGCACCATCTGCTGGCTGCGTAGCACAGTCAGAGGTCATGGGCAGCAATTGCCACAAGTTAAAATACAAGAGAGAGACCACAGAGAGAGAAGGAGAGACCAGAGCGAGACCAGAGAGAGATCAGAGAGAGACCCGAGAGAGACCACAGAGAGAGAGAGAGAGACCAGAGAGAGACCAAAGAGAGACTAGAGAGAGACCAGAGAGAGAGCAGAGTCCAGAAGAACCTTCTGAAACTCCTGAAATATGGAACTAAGTCTCAAAACATCAGGAGAAGATGAAGAACTATACAGTCACTCTAGCATAGACATTAGCATTAGCATTGACATTAGCATTAGTAGAGACGTTCGCATTAGACAATAGTGATAGCCCAGATATTAGTATTAGCATGAGCATCAGCATTAGCATGTACTTTATAACTAGCACGAACATGAACGATGCAGACGTTAGCATTAGCATGGACATTAGCACACTCACCACTGGCCCTGGGCGTCCGTCTAACCCGTGAGCCCCCTGGTGGACATCGTTAGAAACACATGGAAACAACATGGAGAGGGGAGGGGTGAGTGAAGCGTGACGTCATGGTAACAACAAGTGACATGAGCGAGCTGTGACATCATCATGAACCAACTGTGACATCATCATGAACCAACTGTGACATCATAATGAACCAACTGTGACATCATCATGAACCAACTGTGACATCATCATGAACCAACTGTGACATCATCATGAACCAACTGTGACATCATCATGAACCAACTATGACATCATCATGAACCAACTGTGACATCATCATGAACCAACTGTGACATCATTATGAACCAACTGTGACATCATCATGAACCAACTGTGACATCATTATGAACCAACTGTGACATCATCATGAACCAACTGTGACATCATTATGAACCAACTGTGACATCATCATGAACCAACTGTGACATCATCATGAACCAACTGTGACATCATAATGAACCAACTGTGACATCATTATGAACCAACTATATATATGACTGTGTCTGTGACCTGTGTCTGTCACTGTGACTGTGAGCTGTGTGTGTAGTGTCATGTTTCTAAAATAGAGCTTTTGGAGGAATGGGCCAAAATTCCAGATACATTGTGTAAAAACCCTGTGAAGACTTCTGTCATTGTCAACAAAAGGAACATAAGAACAAAGAAACACAGTACAAGACGTTTGTTTTAAGTTAAATACTTGTTTTCGATTTTATTTTACAAATGATTGTTTAGACTGTGAGTGTGAGTGTGTGTGTGTGTGTGTGTTTTGTGTGCACGTGTGTGTGTGTGTAATGTGTCCACTCACAGGCAGACCCAGGTGTCCCCTGTCTCCTTTGTCCCCCTTCTGTCCTGTAGCTCCTTTCTCTCCTCTCACGCCCATCCCCGGCTCACCCTAAAGAGACATGAGGCAGAAACAGAGACATGAGACAGAGACATGAGACAGAGACAGAGACAGAGACAGAGACATGAGACAGAGACAGAGACAGAGACAGAAACAGAGACAGAGACAGAGACAGAGACAGAGACAGAGACATGAGACAGAGACAGAGACAGAGACATGAGACAGAGACAGAGACAGAAACAGAGACAGAGACAGAGACAGAGACAGAGACAGAGACAGAGACAGAAACAGAGACAGAGACAGAGACAGAGACATGAGACAGAGACAGAGACAGAGACAGAAACAGAGACAGAGACAGAGACATGAGACATGAGACAGAGACAGAGACAGAGACAGAGACAGAAACAGAGACATGAGACAGAGACAGAGACAGAGACATGAGACAGAGACAGAGACAGAGACAGAGACAGAGACATGAGACAGAGACATGAGACATGAGACAGAGACAGAGACAGAGACAGAGACAGAGACATGAGACAGAGACAGAGACAGAGACAGAGACAGAGACAGAAACAGAGACAGAGACATGAGACATGAGACAGAGACAGAGACAGAGACAGAGACAGAGACATGAGACAGAAACAGAGACAGAGAACAGAGATAGACACAGGAGAAAGAGGTTAGAGACAGAGGACAGAGACAAGATACATGGGACAGACCTTGGGTCCAGAAGGTCCGGACGAGCCCTGGAACACAGATAGACAGGAGACATGTGACAGAGACACAAGAGACCAGAGACAAAGACAGACATAGACAGTATGTGAGGACTCTCAAGGTGCTTTCACACCGCCGACGTTGGAACGCTGACGCCTCGCGCACCAGACGCACATTCTCTGATATTCAGACGCAGGGGTCTTCACACCAGAAGTCTTGGCCAGCGGTGGCGGAAGTAGCGGGCGGACTTTGATGCTAACGGAGTTAAGCTAGCGGCTATTTGTGTAAAGTTCTTCTCCAATAATGCAGCTCTGCAGCGTCTCTGTGTCCAGAGACCTTCCAGAGACTTTATACAACAGTAGTATGTGTTCACGGAGGTGCGTCATACTTTTATTTTATCATTAGACGGTACTTCCGCATCGGCACGTCACCATTGACTTTGAATTGAAAGTCGACACAACCCATGATCCAGTGTGAAAGCACCATCAGACACTCACCGCAGGTCCAACGGGGCCGGGGGGGCCAGGGGGCCCCTGAGGACCATACATCACCTCGGAGCGGCCCTGGCCCATGTCTCCTTTAGGGCCCTGGATCAGAGAAAGAGTTAGGACTAAGCAAGCCGCCATCTTGGTTTCATCTACAAGTTCTAAAGGCTAGCAGCTAACAGCTAACATGTTACATGTGCAAATGAGAACAGCCCATTGGTTTTAATGGGCGGCCATATACACTTACACACACTCAAAGACACACACTGATACATACACACTCACAGACAGAGACACACACACACACAGAAAGGGCATACCGTGGGGCCTGGTAATCCTACGGGCCCCTGATCTCCGGGGGCCCCCTTCTCCCCGGTGGGGCCATCTAGACCCTAAAACACAAGACTGCGTTCAAATTTGACCAAACCAGACCAAACTGGGTCAGGGCTACTCACAACTCACACGTCTAATTCTACTCTTTAATGAACCAAGCCTATCCAATCATGCTAACACGCTAGCATGCTTACAAACTAGCATGCTTACAAACTAGCATGCTAACACAAGGACATACAACATGCAAACACACGCTAACGTCACTGACCAAACCAGGTCAGGACCAGGTATGATACCAGGTCCAAAACCAGGCCCGAAACCAGGTACAAAACCAGATCCAAAACCAGGTACAAAACCAGGTACAAAACCAGGTCCGAATCAGGTTCAAACCAGAACTGAACCTGGTCTGAACCAGGTCTGAACCAGAACTCACAGGAGCTCCGGAGGGGCCTGGGTCTCCCCTCTCTCCTCTGAGGCCTGGAGGTCCCATGGGTCCTTCTCCTCTGGGACCTTCTGGACCAACTGGACCTGTTGGACCGGGCTCTCCGGGTTTTCCTCTGGGTCCCTGGAACCACAGAGACTGTCAGCGTGTGTGTGCGTGTGTGTGTGTGTACGTGTGTGTGTGTGTGTGTGTGTGTGCGTGTGTGTACGTGTGTGTGTGTGTGTGTGCGTGTGCGTGTGTGTGTGTGTACGTGTGTGTGTGTGTGTGTGTGTGTGTGTGTACGTGTGTGTGTGTGTGTGTGTGCGTGTGTGTGTGTGTACGTGTGTGTGTGTGTGTGTGTACGTGTGTGTGTGTGTGTGCGTGTGTGTGTGTGTACGTGTGTGTGTGTGTGTGTGTGCGTGTGTGTGTGTGCGTGTGTGTGTGTGTACGTGTGTGTGTGTGTGTGCGTGTGTGTACGTGTGTGTGTGTGTGTGTGTACGTGTGTGTGTGTGTGTGTGTGTGTGTGTGTGTGTGTGTGTACGTGTGTGTGTGTGTGTGTGTGTGTGTGTGTGCGTGTGTGTACGTGTGTGTGTGTGTGTGTGCGTGTGTGTGTGTGTACGTGTGTGTGTGTTCTTGTAATCATCACGTTGTGGGGACTGAAATCTGTTAACACAGTCACGCCATGGGGACCCATTTCCTTAGGAGGACCAAAAACCAGGTCCCCATAAGGAAAACCATTTAGATGAATGGGGGAGCTGTTTAGAAGGTGCTGGGCAAAGTTTTAGAGAAGGCTCGTAAGTGATGTTTAATGTGTGTGTTGTGGTTGCTCATTGGCACCTCTGGTGGTAATGACTGGTAAGACACATTGGTTTCCACACACACTTTGCATATATAATTAAGTACCGCCCACATCCTGGTCCCCAAGAGTGATGATCTTGGAATCAACTGTTTTCAGCTGCTTTCAAATGCAACAGACAGGTAAGCATAATTTGCAATCATTTTAGAACAAATATTGTATATATGCATGTTATTTAATAGCAACCAAGTTATTGCTAATTCACTTTTGTGGCCTGAATTGCTGTGGTTTTAATGTACAGACTAATGCAACTGGTTCGAGCTAGCATTGGCAACTTGTTGGAGCTAGCATTAGCAACTAGCTTGGACAGCAGATTCTACCAAACAGCACATGGGTCAATGTTCCCTTCTAAAAGGACATTCAGATGGCGAACAGTTGTCTTCGCAGTAAACGAGTGGTGACTAAATTACATAAGTAGAGCTTCTTATGTACTAGAAGTAGCTAGCTAGGAAGTTAGCACCGATTTTTGCTAACAAGCTAGTGTCAGAGTAAACAGGCTAAAGAATCTGAGTACTCTTTGCTGGTAGCTATACTAAAGACTGTATCTGTTCAATGCTCATGCAAAACGAATAAACTGTGTAATAAGTACAGATTCAGTGATTTACTTTGCATGGTTTCCCTTTTTAAGCAAGATTAGATGTGATTTTAATATACAACCTGTTAGCATTAGCAACTAGCTCGTATAGTAATCAACTTGTGTGTGGTACTTTCAAGAAGCAACTAAAGGTTTCTCAGTACATATACAGGTTCTGAATGATACAACTAAAGCTTTCTATGTAATAGCAGTAACCTATAGTGGCTTTACTTATTAAGAAGTAGTTTGCAGTTTAGTTTTATTTTAAGAATTAAGTGGGTCAAATAGCAGAAATATTTAATTTCTTCAAGTAGAAAGGAAAAAGAAAAGTTACTGAAGTACTGGATGAATATATTAATTGAGTACCTGACTAAATGTTGAAAGTAAAGGTTTGATTTGTAATTATGTATTAAAATATATTAGATATAGAAGATATTTGGAAGTAATATAGTAGAAACAGCTGTACCAAACCTACAGATAAAATAAATTACAAATGTAATAGAATTGTTTCAAAAAATGACTCAAGTGAAATCATAATTATGCATTCTGTTGTTTCAGTTTTTGATGATTTAAATGGCACCACGAATTAGCCCAGAAAAACCTCTGTCTGTGGGGTTTGAAAATTTAGCTGAAAAAGCTGTCTCTGTATTATATAATTTGAATTGATAAATATAGGTAAGCTTTGAGTATGTAAGCTTGGTGATTGTAGCACTATACTGTATAATGTATGTACTATATGTGTTTAAAAGTTTTTATATATCAATATATATATTTCTTTTTTTTCAGCATTGATGCTTCAGTACAAGATGGCACATTTGGGCGTATTGTTAATGATGACCACATCCACCCAAATTGTAAGATGAAAAGAAGCATTACGAGACAAAAAAGAAGGAGAAGAAATTACTTATGATTATGGTGGAGATGACTGCCCATGGAGAGAAAGAGTATGTCACAAACACACGCTTAAAATAATTGCTTATTTCTAACCTAATACAAAGAATGCCCTTTCAGTTACTGCTATTGACTTGAACTATGTTTGAAAGTTTGTTTCATTGGTCCCCATAAAGAATGAATGGAAGTGTGTGAAATGGCCTCCTATGGTGGTGATTTTACATTGTATGATTGTTTTAGTTATGACTTGGAGCTTGGAGTTTTCTGCTATAGACAAGGCTTTAGGTAGACTTCAGGAAGTCTAGTTTAGACCTTTATAAACCCTGATTCTCCACTGTGAGATCAATTAAGTTTCTCTTATCTTGTTTCATGGTGATCCAGACCTGGTGGTACATTTCAGTATTTTATAACATGGGGCTTGGTTGGAAAAATTGGAGCACTGTTTTAGACTTATAGATTATTATAGTGTTCTATTGTAAAGTCTTATACCTTCTGTCTCCCACAGATGACCCACGTGTCAGCAGATGGCTTTACAACAGGCTTTCTTGATCATTCTGACCATTCTTTGTCAGTTCTGAGCAAGCTTTTTAACATTTGAAGTCAATTATATAAGATTTGTTATGTTTAACTCATTTAACTATATTCAGTAAGTAGATAAGTGGGAAGTAGAATATTTTTAGCCTTTTTCAAATGAACCATCACAATGTCCCCATAATAAATTGAGTGACTTCTGTTGAGTTTAATCATGTGTGAAAGTCTGTTGAAATGGTCCCCGTAAAGAAGGAATAGAAGTGTTTGAAATGGTCCTAAAAAGGTCCCCATAACGCACTAGGAGTGACTGATGATGAGTGGAATTGTTTGTGAAAGTTCATTGAATTGGTCCCCATGAAGGAATTGAGAGGGGTGTGAAAAGGTCCTCATGAGACGTGTTCCAGACTCTAGATGTGTGTGTGTACAAACAAGTTGGGTTTACATCTGTCAAACTATGATTTGTGTACTGCTGGTAATACTTGGGCCCCCTTGGGTGGTTCTTTAAATTTAAATTTGTGATCTCTGTTCTAGACCATGATTATTTTAGTGTTTTATTATAAATCCTTATACCTTCTGTCTCCCACGGATGACCCATGTGACAGCAGATGGCTCAACTACAGGTTTTCTTGATCATTCTGACCAGCCTCAGTGCCACATGAATATGTCATTTGGAAACGATGCCTATCAGATTAAGGTAAGATCATATTTATCAATCATGACAAAATACCAGAGGTTCTTTGTCAGTTCTGAAATGTTTTTATAACATCTGAAGTCAATTATCTTAGATTTGTTATGTGTCACTCGTTAAACTATATTCAGTAAGTGGAATTGTCGAAGGAAAGTATTTTTTACCTTTTTTTGGTCATGGCAGACGAGAACTTTTTACTCAAATGTTTCTTTAAATTGAACTCTCCCGATGTCCCCATAATACACTTTGAGTGACTTCTATTAAACATGTGTGAAAGTCCATTGAATTGGTCCCCGTAAAGGAGGAATGGAAGTGTGTGAAATGACCATCAAAATGTCCCCATAACACACTTTGAGTGACTGCTGATGAGTTGAACCGTGTGTGAAAGTCCATTGAATTGGTCCCCATGAAGGAATGGGGCGGGGGTGTGAAAAGGTCCTCATGAGGCATGTCCCCGACCATAGATGTGTGTATGTGCAAATAAGTTTGTTTTACATCTGTCAATCTATGATTTGTGCACTGCTGGTAGTACTTTGGCCTTCTTGGGTGGTTATATTAAATTAAATTTGTGATCTCTGTTTGAGATGGTGATTATTATAGTGTGTTATTGTAAATCCTCATACCTTCTGTTTCCCACAGATGACCCACGTGACAGCAGATTGCACTACTCCAGGTTCTGTTGATCATTCTGACCAGCCTCAGTGCCACATGAATACGTCATTTGCAAACGATGCCCCTCAGAAACAGGTAGGATAATTTTTATCAATCATGACAAAATACCAGAGGTTCTTTGTCAGTTCTGAAAAGGTTTTATAACATTTGAAGTCAATTATCTTAGATTTGTTTTGTGTCACTCATTAAACTATATTCAGTAAGTGGAATAGTGGAAGGAGAATACTTTAAGCCTTTTTTGGTCTTTGCAGACAAGGACTTTTTACTTAAATGTTTCTTTCAAATTAACCCTCACGATGTCCCCATAAAACACTTTGAGTGACTTCTATTAAACATGTGTGAAAGACCATTGAATTGGTCCCCGTAAAGGAGGAATGGAAGTGTGTGAAATGGTCATCAAAATGTCCCCATAACACACTTTGAGTGACTGCTGATGAGTTGAACCGTGTGTGAAAGTCCATTGAATTGGTCCCCATGAAGGAATGGGGCGGGGGTGTGAAAAGGTCCTCATGAGACATGTCCCCGACCCTAGATGTGTGTATGTGTAAATAAGTTTGTTTTACATCTGTCAAACTATGATTTGTGTACTTCTGGTAGTACTTTGGCCTTCTTGGGTGGTTCTATTAAATTAAATTTGTGATCTCTGTTTAAGACGGTGATTATTCAAGTGTTTTATAGTAAATCCTCATACCTTCTGATTCACACAGATGACCCACGTGACAGCAGATTGCACTACTCCAGGTTCTGTTGATCATTCTGACCAGCCTCAGTGCCACATGAATACGTCATTTGCAAACGATGCCCCTCAGAAACAGGTAGGATAATTTGTATCAATCATGACAAAATTCCAGAGGTTCTTTGTCAGTTCTGAGAAAGCTTTTCAACATTTGAAGTCATTTGTATAAGATTTGTCATGTGTAACTCATTAAACT